ACATTGTAAGCCGCCCTGAGTCTCCGGAGAAGGGCGGCATATAAATTAAATTAAAAAAAAAAAATTAGTTTCCATCTGTTGCTTCTGGAACAGGATAGGACAGGATAGAAACTAGAATATGGAACAGAACAGAACAGAATAGACTAAACAGAGTTGATGTCAGCGTCTCACTGCTGGCATAGAGAGGAGAGAGATAAGCCCTGAACTTTTGCCTGCTAAATCCCTTTGAAGCTGGGTCGTTGTGGAAATGAAGGGAGTGGGGACATTCCTGTGAAATGACGAGACAAGAAGTCAGTGGAGTGACTTGGAAGATAGCCAATGAGAAGCAGATAATTGGGGATCGGAAAGGGAGGGATTGGGGGGCAAAAGGTCAGTCTTGTCCACATCGAGTCATGATCCGGTTGCTGTGCTCAAATAAAGAGAAGATTTCCTTAAAGATTGGCAGTTTGGAAATTCATTTATTATGAGATAACATTGAAGTCTGACAGTTGGAAGGGGCCTTGGAGATCTTCTAGTCCAACCCCCTGTTCAGGCAGGAAACAATATTCGATTTCAGTCTTGCACCCGAGCAAGGTTCAAAGGGGAAATTCTCTGATCAATACTGGTAGTCCTCAACTTACAACTGTTCATTTAGTGACCATCCACAGTTATAACGGCACTGGGAAAAAAAAGTGACTTAGGACCATTTTTCACGTTTACGACCGTTGCGGCGTCCTCCATGGTCACGTGATCAAAATTCAGATGCTTGACCGCTGACTCATATTTATGACGGTCCCAGTGTCCCAGGGTGACGTGATTCCCTTTTGCGACCTCCTGACAAGCAAAGTCAATGGGGGGAGGGGGTGGGAAGCCAGATTCACTTAACAACCATCTCACCAATTAACCCCTGCGGTGATTCACTTCACAAATGTGGCAAGGAAAGTCGTTAAAATGGAACGAAACTCCCTTAACCAATTTTCTCACTTAGCACCATACACTCTGGGCTCAATTGTGGTCGTATGTCGAGGTCTGCCTGTAGAAACCCAGGGGCCTCTCCAGGGGTGGGTTCTAAAATTTTGTACTACCGGTTCTGTGGGCGTGGTTTATTTTGTGGGCGTGGCTTGATGGTCATGTGACAATTCTTTAGGATTTAGCAGAGGTACTGGTCTACCAGGCTTTTAACTGCTTGCAGAGCTGTACCGGTCTACTCATTTGTTTTTGCAGGCTCCGGTCTACCCATTTGTTTTTGGAGGCTCCGGTCTACTCAGGTATTTGTGCAGGCACCGGTCTACTCGTGTATTTTTGCAGGCACTGGTCTACTCATGTATTTTTGCAGGCACCAGTCTACTCATGTATTTTTGCAGGCTCCGGTCTACTCATTTGTTTTTGGAGGCTCCAGTCTACTCATGTATTTTTGCAGGCACCGGTCTACTCATGTATTTTTGCAGGCACCAGTCTACTCATGTATTTTTGCAGGCACCGGTCTACTCATTTGTTTTTGCAGGCTCCGGGCTACTCATGTATTTTTGCAGGCACCAGTCTACTCATTTGTTTTGGGAGGCACCGGTCTACTCATGTATTTTTGCAGGCACCGGTCTACTCATTTGTTTTTGCAGGCTCCGGTCTACTCATGTATTTTTGCAGGCACTGGTCTACTCATGTATTTTTGCAGGCACCAGTCTACTCATTTGTTTTTGGAGGCACCGGTCTACCCATTTGTTTTTGCAGGCTCCGGTCTACTCATGTATTTTTGCAGGCACCGGTCTACTCATGTATTTTTGCAGGCACTGGTCTACTCATTTGTTTTTGCAGGCACTGATCTACTCATGCATTTTTGCAGGCACTGGTCTACTCATTTGATTTTGGAGGCACCGGTCTACCACCAAACTGCCTTTTACCGCTGATCAGCTGCAGGACGGCCCTTTGAAGCCCCGCGGCAAGAGTTTAAACAGTTTTTCCTTATAGCCCATCAGCTGGGACTCAGGAGGCAGCAATAGATTGGGGGTGGGGCCAAATAAAAGGTAAGAATAACGGGGGGGCGGGGGGGCAAAACTGGTTCAGTGACATCATATCGTCACCGCTACTGGCTCGGCCGAACTGGGCCGAACCGGGAGGAACCCACTACTGGGCCTCTCTTTTTCTCCCTTAAACATCGGAGAACGAAGGATTAAAAAAAAACCCAGAAATCCGGTAAAAAAAGAAAAGAAAAAGGCAGATGTTTGCAAGAAACCTGGTGGCGCCTGCCAAGCGAAAACCAATTGCAGATGTAATTTTTTGCACTGAGCTTTTAAAAGGACGATACGTACGATTGCGGGAGGGTGAAGGGAGAAGCGGAAAGACAATTATTTAAAAAAACCTTGAGATTGAATGCAGATCAAAAGGTGCAGATATATATAGAGAGAGCGCTTGCCGGATGAGGCGTGCAAACAATGCCGAGATTTTTTTTTCTTAGCCGGCGCGGTGGAGAAGCTGCTTTCAATACCAGACACCGATGACAAGCTGCAAGCCACAAAAGAGAACTTCGCGGTGATGATTAAGTGCCGCATTATCCTGGATGGGTTTTCTACCCAACGGGGGAAACGGGACGGGGTGGAGAGAAATACTAACAAAAGCAGCATTGATGGAGAAGTGGAAGAAGGATGAGACATGGAACGTCGGTGGCACCATGGTTAGGAGGAGACAAAAAGCAAAGGGCGGGGAAAGGGACCTTGAAAACCCATCATCCTGGGCGGGTGGGCTTCTCGGCAGCTTCTCCAAGTTCCTGTGGAGAGAACGTTCCCGCCTCGGCTTCCTTTGTGTGAAGACTAAAATTGGAAACACAGTCGGGTGGGAAGACGGCGACTCGAGAAGCAGAATGGGACTCGATCGATCAATCCAAACAGAACTGGGAGGGATCTTGGAGGTCTTCTAGTCCAACCAGACGTGTGCTTCAAAAATTTTAGCAAGGGGTTCTTTGCCTGGGTGCTGGGTGGGCGTGGCCATGGTGTGCGGGGCCTAGTCGGCCTTGTGCACCACGGCAGGAGGGGTGTTTTTGCCCTCCCCAGGCTCTGGAGGCTTTTCTCGAGCCTCCGGGAGGGCGAAAACGGCCTCCCCAGACTCCAGAGGCCCTTTCGCCCTCTTCTCGATCTTCTGGTAGGCCCGTTTTTCGCCTTCCCCAAGCCTCCGCATGTATCCTGCATTTACCTGCATCCAAAACGGGCTGTGTAGGGACTCCCGGGAGGGGCGGGAGGGGCAGGAAGGGCGGGCCCACCCAGGAGGAGTATTTGGCGGTTCTCCAAACTGCACTGTCCTCACCACTTTCTATAGAGCAGAGGTGTCAAACTCAAGGTCCACGGGCCACATCTGGCCTGCAGGGTGCTTAGTTTTGGCCCGTTGGGCCGGCGTGGAAACAGCAAAGGTTGACCCACAGTGCCTCTGCTAGCGCATGGACCCCTCACACCGCAATGGCCTCCTGCAACTCTCTGCCAGCGAAAACAGAGCTGGGGGCGGCGTGGCCTCCCAGGCTGCATTTTTGCTGGCAGAGGGCTGCAGTAGGCCATCCAGGCCGAAAATGGGTAGGACTTCAATTGCAAGTTGTGATGTCATCTTCACTTTTGGGAGCTTCCCTCCCTCCATCAAGCCCTTATTATCTGCCCCCGGGTGTTGTTTCCCCCCCTCCCCATCTCTTATTTGTAGGGTCCTAGGTGTTCTCTGAGCTTGGTTGTTTTCTTCAGCACCCAAGTAGGTAACATCATCAGTGCCAGGAGGGTGGGAGGTTTATGGAGAGGAAAGGGAGGAGGAGGACTGACGGCTCCTTGGTGCTCCCTGAGCTTGGTTGTTTTCTTGCAGACGTTTCATGACCCAACTAGGTAACACCATCAGTGCGAGAAGGCAGTGGAGTTCTCTGTTTACGTCAATGAAGGAATTGCCAACTCAGACAATCAATAAATGGGACAGTCAAATCAAGGAACCACCAAGAGCACACCTACCCAGACAATGCTGCGGACTCTGTTCAAGCATCTCTTATGTACCGTGTCCTTGAAAGAAGGGAGTGAACTGCCCATAATCTTTTCTACAATAGCACTTAAGTCTTATATACCGCTTCACAGTGCTTTTACAGCCCTCTCTAAGGAGTTTACAGAGTCAGCATATTGGCCCCAACAATCTGGGTCCTTGTTTTACCAACCTCGGAAGGATGGAAGGCTGAGTCAACCTTCAGCCGGTCAGGATCGAACTTCCTGGATGTGGGCAGAGTTAACCTGTAATACTGCCTTCTAACCAGTGCCCACCCACCAACTTGCATTATAACTATGCCCACTACAGATTGATTCCTTCCCTCCCTCCCTCCCTCCCTAAGCAATCACACTTATATACCGCTCCACAGTGCTTTACAGCCCTCTCTTAAGCAGTTTACAGAGTCAGCCTCTTGCCCCCCATCAATCTGGGTCCTCATTTTACCCACCTCGGAAGGATGGAAGGCTGAGTCAGGATCGAACTTCTGGCTGTGGGCAGAGTTCACAACTCTGCCTTCTAATCACTGCCCACCACTATGCTTTGGTTGCCAGGGGGCTGCCCCAGTGGTGAAATCCTACCAGTTCGCACCGGTTCTCGCGAACCGGTAGCGATAGAAGCTACCGGTTCCTGGTAGTAAAAAGAAACTACCGGTTGGTCTGAACCGGTATTTCCAACGATCAGCTGTGCCGCTTGATTTATATTAGCTAGAAAGCAGGAAATCCTGCTTTCTAGCAAATCTAAATAGTGTGGCACAGCTGTTTTCCCCCCCCAGCTGTTCTACTTACCTTAGAAAGTGTCCAGCATGTATTTGGATTGCACTGTGCATACACACATGCAGTATGTGTTTGTCCCGCACCGCGCATGAGTGAACAGCAAACCGCGGAGGATTTCACCACTGGGCTGCCCTCTTGAATTTTTTTGACCTACAAGTGGTCTTGGCAAGTAAAAGGATATACACATTTTCCCCCCATCTGGTGCAATTATAGCCAGTCTCGGCTATTAAAATAAGAATAATCCTGAGAGCAAGCTCCATGTATAATAAAAATACTTTATATGAAACCGACAACATACAACACAAAGATATGCAGAAAGGAGTTTAAGAAAACTCCATTGCAACAACAGGAATTTTTTTTAAAAAAAGGCGATTCTCAGGAATCCATAATAATTAGAACAGGGTTTCTCAACCTGAGCCATTTTAAAAGGGGTGGATTTCAACTCCCAGAATTCCCTAGCCAGTACGAGGAATTCTGGGAGTTGAATGTATGGCTAACTCCAGTATCATCATCGTTTAACGACCCCATAATCCCTTGCGGGGTGGAGTCTGGGCAACTGAATGGAGATTGCAGAGTGTTTTCATGGCCGGATGCCCTTCCCTGTTGCCAATGAGGAGTTTTGTTCGGCAGATATATTCTCATTGTGCCCAGAGAGAGAGAAATATCTGCCTCTACCTAGGATGGAACTCACAGCCTCCTGATTGTGAGGCGAGAGCCACTGCACCACTCCTTATGCTTTATGCTAACTCCAGTATGGCTTCCCATAATTCCTCAGTCATAACCCCAGTATGGCCGGCTGGAGAATTCTGGGAGTTGAAGTCTCCTCTTAAAGGAAAGTCCAACTTTCATCTAGTTTGACCAACAGAACCTAATTTATAGAAATCAAATGCAATCCAGCGACTGAATTATTTCTGAAATCCAGATTTTGCCAATTCCAGCCCCCAACGAACCTCCCCCTTCTCTCTCTTCCTGCCAGATGTTCTAGATCCCACCAAACTCCCAGTGAGGGACATCTGCCTTTTCTTCATCCTCCCAGTCGCAGGTGTGATTGTGGCTCCATCTTCAACCTTCCCTCCTTGCATTGCAGAGGAACCCACAATACAAAATAAAATAAAATAAATAAAAATCCACCTTGTTACACGAGATGAAAATCAGGAAGGGATTTTGTGAGTGTGCAGATGTGAGACAGTATTATCCAGAGACCCAAATTCCGAGTTTTTTTTATCCCGGTCCTGTTGCACCCCGCTGCCATTTTCAAAGAAAAATAAAATATATTTTCAGGGAACATGGAGGAATCTCATCATCTGTGGTCTAAATCCAAGTTTTTTTCCCACACGACACCACCCTGGTTGGAAAGTCCAATTGCAAGAATTTTTAAGGCTCCTTTTTTTCGCTATTCCTGGGTGTCAAAAAGACCGATCAGCTGGCAAGCAATGAAGTCAGAGGAGCGACCGAGCGGCAGGGTGTGGTTGTCGGCCATGTGGGCAACTGTCTGTGTTCTTCCTCCGATTCTTTGGTTGAATGTCCGCCTTGAGTTCGACGTGGAAGGTGAGTAAGGATAAAGGCGGCAAGCTTTGGAGATCCGTCATCGCCAGCGACATTTTAAGACGCGTCTTCTTGCTTTTTAAGAAGAGGAAAACAGGAAAGCATGTCAGCACACGGACAAATTTTGGGAAGAACGACAACATAATGTAGCGAAGAGGGGGTTGAGGGGTTTTTTAGTTAAATTTTTAAAGAAAATTTTAAGGGGACCCGGGAGGGAGGGAGAGGGTTGCAAAAGCGGACCTGGGGGGGTCCAGATAGCGACTGAGCGGGATGATGGGTCGATTAGTTGCAGCAGGAGGGTCGCGAAAGGAAATTTAACCGGGAAGCAGGGGGATGACAGGAAGGGCTGTGAAATTGAAATAATGAGTGGGAGGGGCAGGTATGACGGACGCAGGGGGCCATATCAAGTGTCGGGGGTGCGCATACGCTGTTTACGAGCGATTGCGCACTCCGGCCCCCAATGCGTGACTCGTGTCCTGGGTTGTGTAGAGTCTCAGGCCCAGGGTCCGCGGCTGATGTTGTGTAATGCCAGGTCGGTGGTTAATAAAGCCCCCCTCATTTGTGATCTTATTTTGGAGGGGGGTGCGGACCTGGCAGGTATTATGGAGACCTGGTTGGGCCAGGAGGGGGGGTCCCCCTCGTTGAGATGTGCCCGCCAGGTTTCCGTGCATTTCATCAGCCAAGGGCCCAGGGGAGGGGTGGGGGGAGTGGCGGTGATTATTAGGGAAAGTCTTTGTCCGAGGGAGACCACTGTTCCTCAGATAGCCGGATGTGAGTCCCTTTGTGTGAAGTGGGGCCGTGGGGTGCAGATGGGTTTGTTGACTACGTACCTGGCTCCCTGCCACGTGGCAGCGACCCTGCCCGAGCTACTCGACGTCATTGCCGGGGTGGCGGTTGATACCCCCAGACTTATTGTCATGGGGGATTTCAACCTTCCATCCGCGGGTGAGGCGTCAGAGGCGGCTCGGGAGTTCATGGCTTCCATGACGGCCATGGACCTGACCCAGTTAGTTCAAGGCCCAACTCACATAGGGGGACACACTCTGGACCTGATTTTTGTCTCTGGTCAGTGGTTGAATGATCTTGGTAGAGGGGACCTAGATATTAAACCCTTGTCATGGACAGATCATTCGCTCCTCCAACTAGACTTTCCTACCGCCTTCTCCCGCCGCAGGGAGACGGAGCCAACTAGATGGTTCCGTCCCAGGCGCCTGATGGACCCCGAAAGGTTCCTGACGGAGCTTGGGCCGTTCCCTGAGACCCTAACACACGACTCGACTGAAGAGCTGGTGGCCGCCTGGGAAAGGGCGGCCGCCGGAGCTTTGGACCGCGTCGTGCCTTTGCGGCCTCTGACCCGATGCCGATCTCAACTGGCTCCCTGGTTTTCTGAGGAGCTGAGAGAGATGAAGCGTCGGAAAAGACGCCTAGAGAGCATTTGGAGGACTAGTCAATCCGATTCCGACCGGACACAGGTGAGGTCTTATATCAAGACCTACCTAGTGGCGATAAAAGCGGCAAAGTCTAACCACTTTTCCGCTCTTATCGCATCTGCAGAGAACCGCCCAGCCGCCTTGTTTAGGGTGACCCACTCCCTTCTCCGGGGGGGAGTGCGGGAAGATCCCTTGCAGGGTCGTGCTGAGGATTTTGTACAGTTCCTGCATGATAAAGTCGCTCGGATTCGGGATGGCTTGGACTCCAACTGGATGAGTCCGCGGGAGGAGACGAGGGCAGGTCTTGAGAATGTTATCTGGGAGGAGTTTGATCCTATGACTCCCGAGGATGTGGACAGGGTTCTGGGTAAGATTAGTGCCGCCACGTGTTTATTGGACCCGTGTCCCTCCTGGTTGGTGCTGGCCTCCCGGGAGGTTACACGAGGCTGGCTCCAGGGGATTATAAGTGCTTCTTTGAGTGAGGGTGCCTTTCCTGCCGCCTTGAAAGAGGCGGTAGTGAGGCCCCTCCTCAAGAAGCCTTCCCTGGACCCGGCTGAATAAGCAACTATCGTCCAGTCTCCAACCTTCGTTTTGTGGCGAAGGTTGTTGAGAGCGTGGTGGCACGACAACTTCCCCGGCACCTGGATGAAGCTATCTATCTGGACCCGTACCAGTCGGGCTTCAGGCAGGGGTACAGCACAGAAACGGCATTGGTCGCGTTGGTGGATGATCTCTGGAGGGCTCGGGACAGGGGTTGCTCCTCTGTCCTAGTCCTATTAGACCTCTCAGCGGCTTTTGATACCATCGACCATGGTATCATGCTGCAGCGGTTGAGGGGGTTAGGAATAGGGGGCACTGTTCTGCAGTGGTTCTCCTCCTTCCTCTCCAACCGCTCGCAGTTTGTGTTGGCAGGGGGACAGAGGTCGACCTCGAGGCATCTCGCATGGGGAGTGCCGCAAGGGTCAGTCCTCTCGCCTCTCCTGTTCAACATTTATGTGAAGCCGCTGGGTGAGATCATCCGTGGTTTTGGGGTGAAGTGTCATCTGTACGCTGACGATACTCAGCTGTACAACTCCACCCCAGACCACCCCAACGATGCCCTTGATGTGATGTCCCGCTGCCTGGAGGCCGTGCGGGCCTGGATGGGGAGGAACAGGCTCAGACTCAACCCCTCCAAGACCGAGTGGCTGTGGCTTCCGGCGCCCCGATATAGTCAGCAGGTGCCATCGCTGACTATTGGGGGTGAATCTTTGCCCCCCACAGAGAGGGCTCGCAATCTGGGTGTCCTCCTGGACGCACGGCTGTCTTTAGAAGAGCATATGACGGCCATGGCCAGGGGGGGCCTTTTATCAGGTTCGCCTGATTCGCCAGTTGCAGCCCTTTCTGGATCGGGACGCCTTGCGCACGGTCACTCACGCCCTTGTCACCTCCCAGTTGGACTATTGTAATGCTCTCTACATGGGGCTCCCCTTGAAGAGCACTCGGAGGCGCCAACTGGTCCAGAATGCGGCCGCGCGGGTGGTTATGGGTGCAACTCGTTGCGCCCACGTGACACCCCTCCTGCGCGAGCTGCACTGGCTCCCAGTGGTCTTCCGGGTTCGATTCAAGGTGTTGGTTACCACCTTTAAAGCGCTCCATGGCATAGGACCCGGGTACCTTCGAGACCGACTTCTGCCACCAATAGCCTCCCACCGACCAGTTCACTCCCACAGAGAGGGTCTCCTCAGGGTGCCATCGGCCAAGTTATGTCGGCTGGCGACACCCAGGGGGAGGGCCTTCTCTGTGGGAGCCCCAGCCCTGTGGAATGAACTGCCCCCGGAAATACGTAAGATCTCCGACCTCCGGGTGTTTCGCTGCGCTCTGAAGACCCTGTTGTTCCGCCAGGCCGGGCTATTAACATAACGTTTTAAATTGGGGTATTTTAAATTTCTGGGATTTTAATTGGAGCCTAATTATTTAATGATTTTAAATTTTAATTGTTGTTTTGTTTCTGTGTTTTTAAATAGGCTGTACACCGCCCTGAGTCCTTCGGGAGAAGGGCGGTATAGAAATAAAATTATTATTATTATTATTATTATTAACTGTGTTTCGGTATTGGACGGTGGCAAGAGGTTTTAGCTGGGACTTGTCCTGCAGTTCGCTTGCAAACTTTTATTGGTCCAAAATGTTGTGACCTATTTCTTAGCTGCAGTTAAGTAGTTGCATACAGAACTTGTCAACTCGCAAAACATCCCTGGCCTGCTCTCGAGTTGCCACAGGCAAGGAGTGTGGGAAAACGAACTCTGCAGCTGCAGTGAGGGAGCACTTCAGTCAAAACAAAAGCACATTCCAGCCACCTCTCTATCAAGGCCATCTCCACGGTTACCTACAGTGGCCGGAGGGGAGTGATCTCTACAACTTGCAAAATTGCTTCGTGTGACTGATGACACACCTTGGGGAGGGGAGGGGGGAAACAAGGTCAGAGCCGGGACATAAATTAAGTGGGGTCAGAGTTGGCTTCACTTGGAACGTGCCGACATGAAGCTCCTAATAAATAACTGGATTTCTTTTGAAGCTTGGCTCAAGGCTCATGATTTGATTAGGGCATCGGTTGGAACCCTGACAGCTAGTCAACTCTGACCCCACTTAATTTACATCCCGGCTCTGACCCTGTTTCCCCCCTTCCCCCAAGGTGTGTCATATTCTCCAATGAAGCAATTTCGTGGAGATCACTCCCCTCCGGCCACTGTGAGTAACCGTGGAGATGGCCTTTACAGAGAGGTGGCTGGAATGTGCTTTTGTTTTGACTGAAGTGCTCCTTTACTGCAGCTGCAAAGTTCGTTTTCCCACACTCCTTGCCTGGGGCAACTCGAGAGCAGGCCAGGGATGCTTTGCGAGTTGACAGAACTTTTGCTCCAAACCTTGATGGCTTCTCATGAGCTTCCAAAACACGTTTGGTCCAGTGGTGAAGGCACCAGACTAGAAAATGGATGACTGTGAGTTCTAGTGCTGCTTTAGGTATGGAAGCCAGCTGGGTGACTTTGGGCCAATCACTAGGAGACAGTGAGTTCTAGTCCTGGCTTTAGGTATGAAAGCTGGCTGGGTGATTTTGAGCTAATTACTGGGAGACTGAGTTCTAGTCCTGCCTTAGGTATGAAAGCCGACTAGATGACTTTGGACCAATCACCAGAAGATTGTGAATTCTAGTCCTGCCTTACGCATGAAAGTCAACTGGGTGACTTTGGACCAGTCACCAGGAGATAGTGAGTTCTAGTCCTGCCTTACGCATGAACTGGGTGACTTTATGTCAATCACCAGGAGATGGTGAGTTCTAGTTCCATCTTAGGGCATGAAAGTCGGCTGGATGACTTTGGGCCAATCACCAGAAGATTGTGAATTCTAGTCCTGCCTTACGCATGAAAGTCAACTGGGTGACTTTGGACCAGTCACCAGGAGATGGTGAGTTCTAGTCCTGCCTTACGCATGAACTGGATGACTTTGGGCCAATCACCAGGAGACATGAATTCTAGTCCCTCCTTAGGCACAAAAGCCGACTTGAAGTCTCCTGACCAGAATTAAAACCATTGGTTAAAATCCTTCAGGTTGTGTTCCTTGTGTGAATTACTGCACAGAACCTAGCACTAGGTGCTGAGGAAAATGGTCACCCTGGGGATATCTCTGCTGTCGTCATCCTCTTGCCCGGAGCCTTTTTATATCATGCTTTTTATCTCTGTTTGCTTGAGACCATAATAAAGCTTAACATCCCTTTTAATTGATAGGAGGGCTCATGGTCTCTGGATCTACAAGAACGAGTTGCCTTGGGCACCCGATCGCTGCCCCGACGCTTGGCAAAACAGTATGTTTGTGTATAAAATTTCACAAGTCAAAGCACCCATATGCTCACACCCTAGCTAAGATAGCTAGATCATTTCCAAGAAAGGATAAACCGTCGCAGGATTTTATTCCAGCCTGTCTTCAATGCACCTGCTGTGTTTTCCCAAAAATAACACCAGGTCTTATGTTAATTTTTGCTCCGAAAGATGCATTAGGACTTATTTTCCTTATTTTGGGGGGAAATACAGTACTGAATGCATCCGTCTGGTTGATAATCTTTTTTTTTTTTTAATTGAAAAGTTTTACAAAAAGTTTACATATTTCCCCCCCCTTCCCTACCTCAACCTCCCCCCTCCCCCCCTCCTCTTCCCAGAACAAATTACAGGGTATAACCTTCAACAATCATAATCAATCCTAGTCTAAATAATTATGACATTCCACATCTCTTGTTCCTTCAATTCCCTAATTACCCGACTAGCTTTATTACTTAAAGACACACCAAATATCTATATAATCATTCATAACCTATCTGCAATTTCTTATTCCGGTATTTATTTTGAATATAATCTATCCATCTTCTCCAGTCTCTTAAATATCTTTCATTTGAATGAGCCTTCAAGTACGCCGAGATTTTTGCCATTTCCGCTAGGTTTGTAACTTTCATTGTCCACTCTTGGATTGTAGGTAAATCTTGCTTCTTCCAATATTGTGCCACCAACAGTCTTGCTGCAGTTATTAAGTTCAAACTCAATTTAGTCTCTATAACTGTACAATCCGTAACTATACCCAGCAGAAACAGCTGTGGTGTAAATTTCAACCTCTTTTTAAGAATATTTTGTAAAATCCACCAGATTTTAATCCAAAACGCTTTAACCTTTTTACATGTCCACCAAATGTGAAAATAAGTGGCATCCTCACAATTACATCTCCAACATTTTGGTTGTACATTCGGATACATACGAGATAACTTTTTTGGGTCTAGATGCCATCTATAAAACATTTTATAAAAGTTCTCCCTTAAATTTTGCGCTTTGGTAATGTCTGATTGATAATCTTAACTGGGGCTTATTTTTGGGGTAGGGCTCATATTACGAGCACCCTGAAAAATCATGCTAGGGCTTATTTTCCCGTTGGGTTTTATTTTCAGGGAAATACGGTAGCCCTCAACTTACGACCACTCGTTTAGTGACAGTTAGAAGTTACAACGGCATTCAAAAAATGAGTTATGACCGTTTTTCACCCTTCTGGCCACTGCGGCATCCCCGGGGTCATGTGATCAAAATTCGAGCGCTTGAATCAAGATTTAAGTGGGGGGGGGTTAATAGAAGGGTAATTGTTTTGATTAAGTAAATTTGAGTAAATTTTTTTAAGATGGTATTAGTTGAGATAGGTAATTTCAGATTAAGAAATAAGTGGTATGGCAAAATGGAATATATAAAATTTTGTTAAAGAGGATTAAAAATTGTATAAATTGATGACCGGATCAGGCCTCTGTTCCGAAAAGATGTAATTTGTCTGCTGAGAAAAATAAAAATTAAAAAAAAAAAACTTTTTGCAAAAAAAATAAAAATAAAAATTTGAGCGTTTGGCAACTGGCATGCATTTATGACGGTTGCAGCATCGGGGGTCATGTGATCGTCATTTGTGACCTTCCCAGCCGGGTTCTGACACGCAACGTCAACAGGGGAAGCCAAACTCGCTTAATGACCAAAATGATTCATTCAACATGTGCAGCGGTTGACTTAGAAAGCACGCAAAATGGGTCAAAACTCACTCAGCGACAGAAATGTTGGGCTCAATTGTGGTCGTATGTCGAGGACTACCTGTAATAACCCTCTTTTCTCCCAACCAAATCAAGTCCGTGTTTTTCTCCCATCCGGTTCTGACTTAGGCTTCCTTAAAAATTAAACAGCACAAATTTAGTCCCGGCAAACCTCTTTAATTCATACGGCTGTAAATTACTTTCATTTACAGTCCACAAGGCTTGATAAACAGTCTTTCAGAGGAAAGTTATCAACACCCACCTATCCCGTGTGGAACGCTGCCAAAGAGCTAATTTCCAGATGCAGGACAAGGCCAAACTCGGCACAGAGTCACAAACAGAACTTTCAAACCTTGAATCGGCCAACTAATTGCTTCCTGCAAAAGCTCACGTCCCGTTCGCTTCTCTTTTATGTCTTATGGGTGTCAACCTCAACACGTTGTGGTTGTCATTCAGGTGGGCGGGGGGGAGGGAAAACTCCACTTACCAGTTGTCATATCCAGATTGCGTACCGTTGCTGATTCCACCCTGCTTGCCATTTCCGCAGTAGCCGCCGGGATGTGAAAGCCTTGGATAGGATTTCTGCCGCTAAGGGAGCCTCCATTTTAGCAGCTCCAACGCTATCGCCGCTGCACAGCTGAGAGGCGAACCCGGAAGTGACTACGCGGCTTCTAATATTAAAGACTATTCCTTAGTGTTTCGACGAGCTGGAGGGGCGGAGCTTTGTGTATCATACCCACGATGACGGAATGTAACTTAACATTGGGGGGGGGAGTATGGCGTGGAGTCACGGGATTAGCGGGTAGCTTTGAAAGGTGATGGGAAGCACTGCGCGGTAGCGCTGACAATAAACCATTCTCCACGGGTGTTTGTTGGTTCGTGCCAGAGCCGAGGATAAAGATTGCTAAAACACAGATAACTTCTGGTTTGGAGTCTTATTTCACCGCGGAATTCCGGAACCTGACAATGGGAGGGGCCAATCATCTCCAGGCCTTACTCCCAAGTCAACCCTGTTTCTTTAATTGTTCTTGTCTCCTGGCAGCTCTGCGCATGCGCACACTGGGAACAGGCTCCCGCTGCTCTTCTGCCTCGCTGATGTCAGTCTCCGGAGACTCCCAGATGGCCCTGGCCCTCTCTCTGCCTCCGACACAGAGCCCTCATCTGAGCCTTCCCCAGACTCCCGGACTGGCCCACGTTTCTCCCCAACCTCCTCACTGTCCAAATCTGCTGCCAGCTCTGCTGGCCACTGGCGGGCCACAACACATCCCTAGCCAGGAAAAAAAAGGTAATTTTCTTTGCCCTACTTACCAGGAGTGCTTCGGACGGTATCGCTATCGCCATCTTCACGGTCACTCTGGTAGCCCTCCGGGGCACTGTATCGCTCGCTGCCGAGACTGCTTTGGCTTTCTGATTTGGTGCTTCCCAGAGTCCGACCGGTGCTTCCGCTTGGCGACCGGGCAGCCTCGCCACTGGAAACTGAAGCAGAAATAATAATAATAATAAATTGAACGTGATCTTGAGTGTGAAAACCAGCCTTATTGCTGGAAATGAAGCCGGTAGGACAAAATCCCAGTGAATAAAAACATAAATTGAACAGCAATAGCATTTAGACTTATATACCGCTTTACACTGCTTTACAGCTCTCTCTAAACGGTTTACAGAGTCAGTGTATCGCCCCCAACAATCTGGATCCTCATTTTATTGATCCCGGAAGGCTGAGTCGATCTTGAAGCAGTCAGGATCTAACTCCTGGCAGTGGGCAGAGTTAGCCTGCAATACTGGATTCTAACCACTGTGCCACTGTCCATGATGAATAAATGAATGAATGACTGAGTGAGTGAGCGAGCGAATGAATGAATGAACCAAAATCCATCTCCACTATCCAAAAAAAAAAAAAAAAAGCTGAAATTTTGGGCTCAATTGGGGTCGTAAATCAAGGACTACATAGCTTTTATTATTATTATTATTTATTAGTTTGATTTATATGCCGCCCTTCCCCAGAGACTCAGGGCGGCTTACAATGCATTAAGCAATAGCCTTCATACTTTTGTATATACCGGCATATAAATCAAACTAATAAATAAATAAATAAAATTGGGGTAGTAAGTCCAGGGCTACATATAATAGCTTTTCATCATCTACTGTAAACTCGCCCAATGGATTAATTCAGTAACCACAAGAAGTGTGAGGTCACAATTACGCCTATTTGCACATTCTCTAACAATGGGTTTTGCTCACCGGAGTCTGCTGGGTGCTTCCTGATCTGGAAACCCTTTGATCCCACGGACAAGGACCGATCGTCAAAACTGGAGGAGCTGATCTCAGAATCGCTGTCGCTGTCACTGGAGACAACTGTGGGAAAACAAACAAAATGGCGGAAGGTGAAGGCCGTCATTCGTCTCACTTAACTGCACTGCTTAATGACAAAACCTTTGGTCCCAACTGCTGTCGTAAGATGAGGACTACCTATATACATTGAGTATATATTTACCTGACACCCAATTTTTTTTTAAAAAAAAAAGAGTTATCAACTGGGGATTTATGTTGGTGTTAATAATAGTAGTTAATAGTACAGCTAGTCCTCCATTTAGAACCACAATTTCCTTTGCTCAGCGAGACAGTTATTAAGTGAGCTTTGCCCCATTTTACTTGCCACAGTGGCTAAGTGAATCTCTGCGGTTGTTAAGTGAGTCACATGGTTGTTAAGTGAATCCGGCTTTCCCCGTTGACTTTGCTTGTCAGGTCGCAAAAGGGGATCACAGTACCCTGGGGACACTGCAACCGTCATAAATATGAGTCAGCTGCCAAGCATCTGAATTTTGATCTCGTGATCACAGGGATGCTGCAACAGTCGTAAGTGTGAAAAAACGGTCACGAGTCACTTTTTTCAGTGTAGTTGTAACTTCAAATGGTCACTAAAAGAACTGTTGTCAGTTGAGGGACGTGACTTGAAATTTGGATGGCACAGCTACTTAAGTTATGATAAAGTTAAGACGAATGTAAATTTTAAGTACCGTATTTTTCAGACTATAAGACGCACCAGAGTATAAGACGCACCTACCTTTTTTGGTGAGGAAAAGAAGAAAAAGAAATCTCCCTCTGCCTCTGAACAATTTTGCCTCCTTGCAGCAAACAGCCAACAGCCTGCTTTACTTTCATTTTCGTTTTCATCATAGCTTGATTAGCACAAGGGGAAAAAAAATCTGCTCCAGCAATTTATCTCCTTGCAGCAAGCAGCAGAGCCCTGCGCAAAACAGCTGAGAGCAAATCAGCGGAGAGTCAGGAGGCCGATCCAATCAACTTGTGCTAATTAGGCTGTGCTGAAGCTGAAAGGAATTGTTTTTTTCTTGCTGTTTGCTTGCAAGGAGGTAACTGCTGCGAGGCAGAGGCCAAAGGGTGGGGGCCAGTGGGTGGCCAGGACTACATTCGGTGTATAAGACGCACCTAAATTTTCACCCCCTTTTAGGGGGAGGGGAAAGGTGCGTCTTATACTCCGAAAAATACGGTAGTGCCTTTTTAGAGGTGCTTTTTGAGAATTTGGAACAGGTATAAACCAAAACCACAGAAGTTCTCTTCTTGTTGTGGTCTGTCGGCCGCCGGCCCCTCCAGCAGCCGAATCAGAGGAGGAGGAGGAGGAGACATCAAGGCAACTCTGAGAGCTCCGAGGGGGAAGAGGGAATGCGGCTGTCAGAGAGAGAGAGAGGCAGAGCCTGGGCCGTCCATCAGCCCTCAGATGGAGAGTCAACAGCCCCCAGGTCTGGAGGTGGCTGATGAGGAGGAGGAGGAACAGCTGGGTCCAGTGCCTGACACACGGATGCACAGAAGGCAGAAGAGAGGAGAGCAGTGGAAATCCGTGGGCTGGTCCTCAGGACGGAAGAACCACCATTGCTAATGAAGCCCCACCCTAGCTCTGGGGATAAAAGGCGGGGGGCAGAGATGAGTAGATGTGAGAGACAACTATTCGTCTTCCGGACAGACGGACTTGTTAGCCTGAGAAGGAAACTTTTTGCCGGGGCTGCTGGCGCCCCTAATAAAGGAATCTTTTGAGTTCACTTCAGAGGATTTGTCATGTTTAGGAGTTGGTCAGAACACTTCTCTTCAGGAGAAAAATGATAATTAAACCCATTTGGTTGACATATGACGAGCGATTAACATTCCTTGGAAGAGAAGCCTGTCTGAAAAACAAGGGAAAATCTCAAGGAAGGAAGGTTTTACTTGTCAATTTTTTTTACGTACGCTCAATTGCTTGGAAGATTTAAAATGGATTTAAAAAAAAAAAGAATTCTGTTTTGACAGACAAAAGGAACCGATTTTGAAAAAGACTTATGCGCCGTTGATGAACATCTTATTGCTAAAGTGCATAAATTGTTATTGACGATGAATCAGGAAAAGGAATATGTGTCCAGATTTTATGCTTAAATAAGCAGGAGGTTTTGGATATAAAGGTACAGTAGTCCTTGACTTACGACGACAATTGAGCCCAACGTTTCTGTTGCGAGACAGTTGTTGAGTGAGATTTGCTCAATTTTATAACCTTTCTCACCACCGTTGTTAAGTGAATCACTGCAGTTGTTAAATTAGTCACACGGTTGTTAAGTGAATCCGGCTTCCCCATTGACTTTGCTTGTCAGAAGGTCGCAAAAGGGGATCACGTGACCCCGGGACACTGCGACCGTCATAAATACGAGTCAGTTGCCAAGCGTCTGAATTTTGATCCGCGACTATCGGGATGCTGCAACGGTCGTTAAGTGTGAATAATGCTCATAAGCCAGTTTTTTTTCAGTCGTGTTGTAACTTTTGAATGGTCACTAAAAGAACTGTTGTAAGGGGAGGTGACTAGGTGGCTCAAGTGGCTAAAGACACTGAGCTTGTCGATCAGAAAGGTTGGCAGTTCGGCAGTTCGAATCCCTGATACAAGCCTCCTGCCTGAGCAGGGGGTTGGACTAGATGGCCTCCAAGGTCCCTTCCGACTCTGTTACTGAATATTCTGCTTGAAAATTGGGAAAATAGGTGGACGGACTGAAATTTACACTGAATTATTTCAATAATTTGAAAATATTTATCAAATGATGTAGAGATAGTCGTCCACTTACCGTTCGAAGTTACGATGGCACTGAAAAAATGCGACGTAGGACCGTTTTTCACACTTATGACTGTTGTAGCATCCCCATGGTCACGTGTTCAAAATTCAGACTCTTGGCAGCCGACTCATATTAACAGAGCCTTGGTGGCGCAGCAGACTAAAGTGCTGTTAAGTAGCACCAGATGCCTGTAATTACTGCAAGTTTGAATCTCACCAGGCTCAAGGTTGACTCAGCCTTCCCTCCTTCTGAGGTAGGTAAAATGAGGACCCGGTTTGTGGGGGCAATAAGCTGACTTTGTTTAAAAAAGAACACCGCTTGGGGGGCCGCGAAAGCCCTACTAAGCAGGTATATACAAAAGTGTGAAGGCTATTGCTTAACGCATTGTAACCTGCCCTGAAACTCCGGAGAAGGGCGGCATATAAATCGAACCAATAAATAAATAAATGAATGAATGAATGAATGAATGAATGAATGATGTTACGGTGTCCCGGGGTCATGTGATCCACTTTTGACAAAGCAAAGTCAAGGGAGAATCCAGATTCACTTAACAACCGTGTGACTAACTTAACAACCACAGTGATTCACTTAACAACGGTGGCCAGAACGGTCATAAAATGGGCCCAAGCTCACTTAACAGCGGTGTTGCTTAACAAAACGGAAATTTTGGGCTTAATTTGTGGTCATAAGACGAGGACGAACTGCACTGTTGGGCCTTTAACCTCATTTACTCCTTTTTTACCCTCCCTTACGGTAATTTTAGATTTTGACTTTTTTATTATTTCGGAAACTTCATAGAATCCTTTTTAAAAAAAAAAAAAAAAACACAAAACCTAGAAATCCGCAGAGGCTTTGTATTTTACCTTTTTTTTTTATTTTGGAAACTTCATAAAAATCCCTTTAAAAAAAAAAAAAAAACACCCAGAAACCTGCAGAGACTTCGCAGCTGTCACAAGCGGAGCGTGTGACTCAAACACGCATATGGTGGCTGTTAAATCAATTCCGATGTTCTTTTTTTTTTCTTTAAGGAGGAAAAAAAAAAAGGAAACCACCTCCCACCCCTCATCCATCCCCCCCCAAAAAATCTAGGAGGGTGTATTAGCACTAAACCTCATTACGTGGCTTCCCACCCACCTGTCATCTGGCATTTCTGCTTTTTTTCTTGCAAACTCAAATTGAAGGGAGAGAAGGCAAAGGTACAAGCCTCAATTTAGCTGACAAAAAAAAAACCCCAGGGTGGCTATTTGAACTGGGAAATTGTTCCCACTTTACAAGTGGGAATCCGCACCCCCCCTTCGGCTATTTAAGCAGCCTGCGGGGAGGAAATCTGCAGAAGGCAGCTGTTGGATGGGGAAGATGAGATTATGGAGAGGAAGAATGAAGGGCCCCCTTGCCAATCTAACTGCCTTCCTATCATCTAATTTTGAGCTAAACTTAGTTGGCAGGCTGCCCCTCCCACCCCACCCCAAAGGGACCTCTGGCTAGGAAATGTGTAAAACAGGGAACTGCTTAGAACAATGTATATCAGGGCTGAAAGGAACCTCAGAGGTCTTCTAGTCCAACCCCCTGTTCAAGCAAGAGACCTATTACCATTCCGGACATTCCAAATTCCCCAGCCGGCATGCTTTAAGATGGGTTAACTTCAACTCCCAGAATTCCCCAGCTAGCATGCTTTAAAATGGGGGAATTTCAACTCCCAGAATTTCCCATACAACCTGCTTTAAGATAGTTGGACTTCCACTCCCAGAATTCCCCAGCCAGCCATGCTTTAAGATGGGTGGACTCCAATTCCCAGAATTCCCCAGCCAGCATGCTTTAAGATGGGGGAATTTCAACTCCCAGAATTTCCCATCCAACCTGCTTTAAGATAGTTGGACTTCCACTCCCAGAATTCCCCAGCCAGCCATGCTTTAAGAAGGGTGGACTTCCCTCCCAGAATTCCCCATCCAACCTGCTTTAAGATAGTTGGACTTCCACTCCCAGAATTCCCCAGCCAGCCATGCTTTAAGATGGGTGGACTTCCCCTCCCAGAATTCCCCCAGTCAGCATGCTTTAAGAGGGGTGGACTTCCCCTCCCAGAATTCCCCATCCAACCTGCTTTAAGATGTTGGACTTCCACTCCCAGAATTCCCCATCCAACCTGCTTTAAGATAGTTGGACTTCCACTCCCAGAATTCCCTAGCCAGCATGCTTTAAGATGGGTGGACTTCCACTCCCAGAATTCCCCCAGTCAGCATGCTTTAAGATAGTTGGACTTCCACTCCCAGAATTCCCCATCCAGCATGCTTTAAGATGGGTGGACTTCCCCTCCCAGAATTCCCCATCCAACCTGCTTTAAGATAGTTGGACTTCCACTCCCAGAATTCCCCATCCAACCTGCTTTAAGATAGTTGGACTTCCACTCCCAGAATTCCCTAGCCAGCATGCTTTAAGATGGGTGGACTTCCACTCCCAGAATTCCCCCAGTCAGCATGCTTTAAGATAGTTGGACTTCCACTCCCAGAATTCCCCATCCAGCATGCTTTAAGATAGTTGGACTTCCACTCCCAGAATTCCCCATCCAGCATGCTTTAAGATGGGTGGACTTCCACTCCCAGAATTCCCCATCCAACCTGCTTTAAGATAGTTGGACTTCCACTCCCAGAATTCCCCATCCAGCATGCTTTAAGATGGGTGGACTTCCACTCCCAGAATTCCCCCAGTCAGCATGCTTTAAGATAGTTGGACTTCCACTCCCAGAATTCCCCATCCAACCTGCTTTAAGATAGTTGGACTTCCACTCCCAGAATTCCCCATCCAACCTGCTTTAAGATAGTTGGACTTCCACTCCCAGAATTCCCCATCCAACCTGCTTTAAGATAGTTGGGACTTCCACTCCCAGAATTCCCTAGCCAGCATGCTTTAAGATGGGTAGACTCCAGCTCCCAGAATTCCCCCAGCCAGCCATGCTTTAAGAGGGGTGGACTTCCACTCCCAGAATTCCCCAGCCACCATGCTGGCTGGAGAATTCTGGGAGTTGAAGTCCACCCATCTTAACATTGCTGAAGTTGAGCTTCTGTTTTCCAAGTTCCCCATGTCTCTCATGGGGGGGGGGGAGTGCCAACCTTTTCCTCTGGCCCAGGTATAGGTGTGATCCGTCCCGCTACCCCGGAGCTCCAGCGATGATGGTTCCGGGCGAGGAGGAGGGGGCCGAAGGTGGATTTCCTTGGCTTTTTTGCCGCTGGTCTCTTTTAATGGCAGGATGCATTTGGGGAGGCCTTTGAAGAACCAGGCTCCAGATCGCTTCCAGACCTAAAGACGACATTTAAAAAATAAATTAAAAAAAGAGGGGTTCAATTATTCGGATTGCTCCTTTATTTTTATTTATTTTTTCACTTTATTTAATATTCATTTTATATTCATTCGCTTTCAGGCTTGCAAAATTAATGTCAGCCTTCCCACACAGAGCCAACATAAGAAGATGAGATCATTGACTTCATTGTTAAAGCTACGTTCGCGGAATCTTGCAAAACCGATTGTCCGTATAGGTGAATCAGGGTAAAAATTATGGAAAATAAACTTCTTTGTAGCCGCATTCCCAAAGCATTTCGTAATAATGATTAATATTGTTCCTTTAAAAATATATATATATATATATATTTATACATTTTTTTCTTCTTCTTTAAAATACATAGGTGCTTAATAAACAAGTGCATTGTCTGGATCCATTTGTTTATACAAAATATTAATGAAGAGCCTTGGTAGTACAGTGGTCTAAGGCACCCTGTTATTAAGCTGGTTATTAAGACCAGCTGCCTGCAATTGCTGCAGGTTCGAATCTCACCAAGCTCAAGGTCGACTCAGCCTTCCATCCTTTCTAAGGTAGGTAAAATGAGGACCCAGTTTGTGGGGGCAATAAGCTGACTTTGTATAAATATACAAAAGAATGAAGGCTATTGCTTAGCGCATTGTAAGCCGCCCTGAGTCTCCGGAGAAGGGCGGCATATAAATCAAATTAAAAAAAAAAACTAGTAGTAAAAATAATAATTGTAATATCATCCATAATTAAAATGCTACAATTTACTTAATATAGTAAAACTTTTTTACTTCATTTGCTTACATGTTTCAATAATCTTTAACCTCTAATTTCTATCTCTTTTATCCAACCATTGATAAAACATATTCCATTTTTAAAAAATATTCTGTTTCTTCCTTATCTTTTATTATTAATGTCAGTCTATCCATCTCTGCACAATCTACCAGGTTTCCCCGAAAATAAGACTGGGTCTTATATTAATTTTTGCTCCAAAAGATGCATTAGGGCTTATTTTCTGGTTAGGTCTTATTTTGGGGGGAAATACGGTACTAAATGCATCCATCTGACTGACAATCTTAACTGGGGTTTATTTTGGGGGTAGGGCTTATATTATGAGCATTCTGAAAAATCACGCTAGGACTTATTTTCCGGTTGGGTCTTATTTTCAGGGAAACAGGGTAATATTTTTTCTAATGATACGTTCATCTGTAGGTATATCCTCAATATTGTTCCTTTTTTAATAGCACCGGTATCCCGTCTAGAAGACTTTTGGGGGGAGGCAGAAAACACCTATGAAAAAAACAACCCAATTCCAAACAATTGGATAGGTGTTGTTTGTGAACCTCTGTTGTGGTTATTATTTAAAATTTATTTTAATCTCCCCCAGGCTGGGCGGCTATAAAAATTTAAAATAAACAATAATTCCAAATAGCGACCTTGAATTTGGGAGGTTGGGCAGAAAAAGAGAGACCCCGATAGTCGTTTGCAGTTTGTGCACATGTGTGAAAAAACCTGGGGCAGAGGTGAGTTTCAGCAGGTTCTAACCAGTTCTGGAGAACCAGTAGTGGAAATTTTGAGTAGTTCGGAGAACCGGTAGTAAAAATTCTGACTGGCCCTGCCTCCATCTATTCTCTGCCTCCCAAGTCCCAGCTGATCGGGAGGAAATGGGGATTTTACAGTATCCTTCCCCTGGAGCGGGGAGGGAATGAGGATTTTGCAGTATCCTTCCCTCTGGAGTGGGGAGGGAATGGAGATTTTGCAGTATCCTTCCCCTGGAGTGGAGATTTTGCAGTATCCTTCCCCTGGAGTGGGGAGGGAATGGGGATTTTGCAGTATCCTTTCCCTGGAGTGGGGAGGGAGTGGGGATTTTACAGTATCCTTAATGACCGTGTTGCTCACTTAACAACCGCAGTGATTCACTTAGCAACTGTGGCATGAAAAGACGTAAAGTGGGGCAAAGCCAGGGGTGAAATTTGACCAGTTTGTACGAACACGCCCATCCAGTCACCACTCACCCCTTCCGGCCGCTCGACCCATTCAATGATAAATACTGCAGCAGAGAGAATCCGAATTTTTTTCCCTCCATTCACAGTGGAGCTGCTGCAGCCTGCCCCTTTAAGGTAGTCCCCGGGAGGGAGGGGGGCCAGGAGTGGACCATAAAGGCAGCAGCAGCTCCGCTGTGAATGGAGGGAGAAAAGTTCGGTTTTCTTATGACCTACGCTCACTTAATCATTACAAGACACAATTAGTCTCAAACAAAACTATTTTATTACAACAGCTGAGAATTACATTCATTCCCAGCTTAGTCCAAATTAATTCCAAAACAAGTCCTTCAGAAAAAGTCCTTCAGGCTTATCACGAACCTATCTTTTTTGGCACCCTGCCAAAGGCCTTTCTTGGCAAAGCCCCACAAAGTTCAGAAACAAGAGATGCCGACTGGAAACAGATTTAGCAACGTTGCTATCCTACAAAGAGCCCAAGAGCCTTTGCTGCTCTTTTAAGCCTTATGGGAGGGGCCAATCATTTCCTAGCCTTACTCCCGAGTCGTCCTTTTTGCTTTAGCTGCTCTTGCCTTCTGGCAGTTCTGCGCATGCGTGCACTAGGAACAGGCTCCTCCTGTTCCTCTGCCTCTCTGCTGTCCGCCTCTGGAGGCTCCGGAGTCCACGCATTACTCCCAGATGGCCCTGGCTCCATCTCTGCCTCCGACGTGGAGCCCTCGTCCGGGCCTCCCCCAGACTCCAGGACTGGCCCATGGTCCTCCCCAGACTCCTCACTGTCTGACACCGCTGCCAGCTCCGCGGGCTGCTGGCAACCACAACAGGTTTCTCTCTGCCACAGCATTCACTATGAACCCTTCTGGTGCTCAGACACACATTTTTTCCTACCGGGTTCTGTGGGCGTGACTTGGTGGGGTCATGTGATTGAGTGGCTGTGAGTGACATTGAGTTGGCCATGCCCACTCCATCACAGGATCCACCACCACGCCATGCCCACAGAACCGGTAGGGAAAAAATTTGAATGAAACCACCGGGCAAAGCTCACTTAACAATTGTCTTGCTTAGCCACAGAGATGTTGGGCTCAATTGTGGTCGTAAGTTGAGGACTTGCTGTAAATGCATTCTACAGAAAGCCAAGGAGGAAATTTTTGGGGACGTTCAGCTGAAAATACATTCGAGCCAAGAGAAAAGTAATTTCAGTTAAGAAGAGGGCCAAAACCTCACAGATGATAAGAGGTCACGAAAGCCGGTCACCAACTTTACCCCGTCCAATTTTTTTCAAGAGCGCACTTTCTTTTCCAATTTAGATTTTAATACAGAGATTAGGGATGAAGGGAATTTATTAAAACATATTTTAATCTATACAGCCTCGCACAAAAGGAAGAGCAATTGTCACAGAAAGAAAGGCGAAACCCTGAAACTCAATTTAATTTCTGCCCGCCGGCAAAAACTCATCAAAAACTCAACGAGGGCACACTTTAAACACAAACATACACACACAAAAGTGTTAGACTTATGGAAACTGTGCCAGATAAGACATTTTCCCCCGTGAGAAATTTATTTTTCCATTCTGGAAAAATAAAATAAAATGTGAATTGATGCTCAACGGATTAGAACAGACTGAATTCCTGCCTCGAGATATTTATTCTTTAAAATTGGACAAGAAAAGACAACATGGAGAAATAAACGTGTAGCTGATAACATGGTAGGAAACAAGAATCAGAGACAGATCATTTTTATTATTATTCAATCCTCAAAGGAGTCCAGACCAGTGTGTCTCATTGGTTCATTTCTTGCCATCGAAGGCAGGGGTCTCCAATCATGGCAAATTTAAGACTTGTGGACTTCCACTCCCAGAATTCCACAGCCAGCATGTTTTAAGATGGGTGGACTTCCACTCCCAGAATTCCCCAGCCAGCATGTTTTAAGATGGGTGGACTTCCACTCCCAGAATCCCCCAGCCAGCATGCTTTAAGATGGGTGGACTTCCACTCCCAGAATTCCCCAGCCAGCATGCTTTAAGATGGGTGGACTTCCACTCCCAGAATTCCCCAGCCAGCATGCTTTAAGATGGGTGGACTTCCACTCCCAGAATTCCCCAGCCAGCATGCTTTAAGATGGGTGGACTTCCACTCCCAGAATCCCCCAGCCAGCATGCTTTAAGATGGGTGGACTTCCACTCCCAGAATTCCCCAGCCAGCCTTGCTTTAAGATGGATGGACTTCCACTCCCAGAATCCCCCAACCAGGATGCTTTAAGATGGATGGACTTCCACTCCCAGAATTCCCCAGCCAGCATGCTTTAAGATGGGTGGACTTCCACTCCCAGAATTCCCCAGCTAGCATGCTTTAAGATGGGTGGACTTCCACTCCCAGAATTCCCCAGCCAGCAATGCTTTAAGATGGATGGACTTCCACTCCCAGAATTCCCCAGCCAGCAATGCTTTAAGATGGGTGGACTTCCACTCCCAGAATTCCCCAGCTAGCATGCTTTAAGATGGATGGACTTCCACTCCCAGAATTCCCCAGCCAACATGTTTTAAGATGTTTGGACTTCAACTCCCAGAATTCCCAATTGGGAGTTGAATTCCGCACGTCTTTAAAGGGCCAAGGTTGAAAAACTGATTAAAATAATCTCCCCTGACAAACAGCAAATTACCAGAACAATTATCAGCAGAATTGTGGCACCATTGCAAAAACTCACCTCTCTCTGCTCGCTGCAGATCTTACAGAACCAAACGGGCCGCTTATGGGCACCCGGCGTTTCTATGCCACACTTTGTGCAAACTTTCTGGGGAGAGAGAGAGAGAGAGAAAAACCAATCAATCCAAAACTGGTGACACCAGTGGGTAGATGGGTGGGTTGGCCGGGACATGGGGGAGAAAGCATCAATCTCTAAAAATGTGGCGAAATGTCTTGCCTCCTGCAAAGGAAAAAGTTGAAATAATAAATAATATTATTATATTAATATTTATATTATTATTTATATTATTATTTCAACTTGCAATTAATATTTATATATTAATAATAATAATAATAATAATAATAATTGCAAGTTGAAATAATAATATAAATATTAATTGCAAAAAAACCACATTTCCCCCCAAGTTTCCAGGCGGTCCTCGACTTACGACCACGATCGAGCGCAAAATGCCCGTTGCTAAGCAAGGCAGTAGTTGAGTGAGTTTTTCCCCATTTTACAAGCCTTCTTGACACCACTGTTAAGCGAATCACTGCACTTGTTAAGTGAATTGTGTGGTCCTGAAGCAAATTTGGTTTCTTTGGCAGAAGCCGGCTGGGAATGCCGCGAATAGGGATCACATGATCCCTCCCCCAGGACTCTACAACCGTCATAAATATGAACCAGTTGCCAAGTGCCCAAGTTTTGATCACGTGACCATAAGGATGCTGCAATGGTCGTAAGTCTGAAACGCGGTCATAAATTATAATTTTTTCAGTGCTGCTGTAAGTTTGAATGGTCATTAAACTTTCCAAACTAACTTGGTTAAAAATGGAAAACTGGGGTTGAATTGTGGTCGTAAGTTGAGGACATACGAAAGCATTACTTTCTTAACTTTGGACATTGGCACTTCGAACCCAAAGTATTTTCCCACAATGCACCTGAGGTACCCTCTCTCGAGAGGTTCAAATACAGGTAGTCCCCAACTTACAACAATTCATTTAGTAACCGTTGAAAGCTACAACGGCACTGAAAAAAGTGACGTCTTCAAAGCAAAACTAAAAAAAGTCCAGTTGAGTCTTTAAAAAGCAGCTCTGGGACAACCACGAATTGGATGGCCGAGAATCTCCCATAGACACATTAAAATGAAATTTCGATCTCCCGCAATCAGATTATGGCCAGAAAGAATCATCAAGGCAACGTTAGCCTTTGCAGGTCTCTCTCTTCCTGTTCTGACCTGGGCTCCCTTAACAAGCAGAAGGCGAGAACTGGTCCCGGCAAAACCTCTTTTATTTACATGACTTGTGAATTACGTTCATTCGCGATCAGCAAGGTTTGTCCAAACAGTTTTCCAAAGGAATATTCATCAACACAGACCTTATCTCATTTGGCAAGCTGCCACGTAACTGCAGTACAAGGCAAAACTTGGCACAGAGTCTCTCAAGGAGTCACGGAACGAATTGTTTCCGGAAAAATCCCACTCCCTATTTACTCCTTTTTTATTTCCTGTGGGAGGGGCCAATCACCTCCAAGGCGTGGCGTTACTCCCGAGTCGACCCTGCTTTCTGAGTTTGTTCTTGTCTTCTGGCAGCTCTGCGCATGCGCACACTGGGAACGGGCTCCAGTTGTTCCGCTGCCTCGCTGCTGTCTACCTCCCTCTCTGCCTCCGACGCAGAGCCCTCGTCTGAGCTTTCCCCAGTCCCCAGGACTGGCCCAGTGGTGGGTTCTAACCGGCTTTACTACCGGTTGTCTTCGTGCACGCGCTTCGCGCAAGTGCGTTAGGAATATGCCCAGCTGAGGTGCGGCAATCCACTCTGCCGCACCTATCAGCTGGGCTAAAAATAAAGAAATAAAAGGTAGGAATAACACGGGGGCGGGCAGGAGGGCCCAACTCCCAGAAAAAGAGAACCGGTTCGGTGACGTCATATCGTCACTGCTACCGGCTCGACCGAACCGGGCCGAACCAGGAGGAATCCACCACTGAACTGGCCCATGTTCCCCCCCAACCTCCTCACTATCCGACTCTGCTGCCAGCTCTGCTGGCCGCCTGCGGGCCACAACACTTCCCCGTCTTCCGATTTCAAGACCAGCCAGCAAAAAAAAAAAAATAGACACAGCCGTTGTTTTTTTCCAGCCATCTGGACAAGCCGAATGAGCCCGCAGGGCAAAGCGGTTCATAAAAGATTTCAAAAGAGCTGCGAGGCCCAAACAGAAGGAATAAAATCAAATGGAGGGCTCAATAAAAAAAGAGAATTGGGGGGGGGGGGGAAATCAATTCCACAGCGAGATGGAATAACCATTTTTCTTGCACGGCACCGGTAAATTAATGCCGCCGGCCGTATCCGCAGCAGGATGCTGAACAGTCACGGGAGGCTGAAAAAATGTCAACCTGGAGGGGGTCCTCCGTCGAAAAAAGGTTAGGCAAGAAAAACCGAATGGACAGGAACAGAAAAAGGGGTACCTGCAGTGGTGAAATCTAAAATTTGTTACTACCGGTTCTGTGGGCGTGGCTTGGTGGTGGTGGGGGTAATGTGACTGGGTGGGCGTAGCTTTTTTTTTTTTTTTTTTTTTACTTTTAAAAGCATTTTGCCTGATCGGCAGAGGCTTACCTCTGGGGCCTGGTGGCGCAGCTGGCTAATAGCCTGTTATTAACAGTCAGCTGCCTGCAATTACTGCAAGTTCGAATCTCCCCAGGCTCAAGGTTGACTCAGCCTTCCATCCTTTCTAAGGTAGGTAAATTGAGGACCCAGTTTGTGGGGGCAATAAGCTGACTTTGTATAAATATATACAAAAGTATGAAGGCTATTGCTTAGCACATTGTAAGCCGCCCTGAGTCTCCGGAGAAGGGCGGCATATAAATCAAATTTTTTTTAAAAAAAATTCAGCTGGGATCGTCAGAGGCATTTATTTATTTATTTATTTATTTATTTTATTTCGAATTTATATACCGCACCTTCTCCCGAGGGACTCAGGGCAGTGTACAGCCAGATAAAAACATACAATACAAACATTAAAAACAATTAAAAGGATATATATTAATTTAAAAGAAAAAAACCCTTTTTTTCTTTTAAAAGCCTTTGACGATCCCAGCTGAGGCTTTTTTTTTTTTACTTTTAAAAGCATTTTTTGCCCAAAAAGGTTGTAGAAAAAATGCTTTTAAAAGTTAAAAAAAAAAGCCTCTGATGATTGTGCGGCTCAGCTGGGCATGGGGGGAGGCAGGGATTTTTGCTACTGGTTCTCTGAACCACCCGCCACCATCACTACCGGATCAGGCGCTCCGGTCCGAACCGGGAGCATTTCACCCCTGGGTACCTTGGCTCAAAAGCGGTAACTGCGAGGGATCAGAATACAGACTAACAGAGTTGGAAGGGTCCTTAGAGGTCTTCTAGTCCAACCCCCTGCACAGGACCCTTCAGTACAGGTGGTCCTCAACGTACAACGGTTCATTTAGTGACCGTTCAGAGTTACAACGGCACTGAAAAACACAACTTACGACTGGTTTTCACACTTACGACCTTTGTAGCAGCCCAACGGATCATGTGAGCAAAATCCAGGCACTTGGCAATTGGTTCACACTTATGACCACTGCTGTGTCCCAAGGTCATGGGAATCACCCTTTGCCCCCTTTTGATCAGCAAAATCAACGGGGAAGCCAGATTCGCTTAACAACCGGGTTACTAACTTTTATCAACTGCAGGGATTCGCTTAACGACCGTGGCAAGAAAGGTCGTACCAGGGGGCAAAACACACTTAACAAATGTCTCACTTAACAACAGTCATTTTGGGCTCAATCGCGGTCGTAAGTCAAGGACCACCTGTTCTCCTTCACTGGGCTCCCCAGCAGGAAGATAAAACAAGATAGAGGTAGTCCTCGGTTTACAACGACCATGGAGAGCAGAATTTCCATGGCTTACCGCCAATGTTATCTGCTTTGTTGCCACGATTGTTAAGCAAATCAACTACCGTTGTTAAGCGAATCACATTGTTGTTAAGCCCCACTTTGCACAAATCACGTGACTATGGGACGCTGCCACAGGCTGGTTACCGAGTCCCTGAATTTTGCTCCTGTGACCGTGGGGATGTGATGTCGGTCCGTAAGCACGGGGACTGGTTGCAAGTCAGTTTTTTCAGTGCTGTTGCAAAGTCAAACGGTTACTAAATGAATCATCATCATATATTATTATTATTATTATTATTTATTTATTTATTTATTTATTTATTTATTTATTATTATTATTTATTGAATTTGTATACCGCCCTACTCCCGAAGGACTCAGGACGGTGAACAGCCGAAAGATAAAATACATATAATACAAATGTTAAAAAAATCATTAAAATACAATGAAATAATTTGGCCCATAAAACAAAATTTTAAAACACCCCAAATTTATAAGACAAATTTAAAAATTTAAAACAGTTTAAAAAGAGGTTAGGCCAGGCCAGCCTGCTGGAATAGGAATGTTTTGAGGGCACGGCGGAAAGCGCGCAGGTCTGTAATCCTCCGTATCTCCGGGGGGAGCTCGTTCCAGATGGCAGGTGCCCCCACAGAGAAGGCTCTCCCCCTGGGGGCCGATGGTCGACACTGTTTGACCGACGGCACCCTAAGAAGCCCCTCTCTATGGGAGTGTACTGGTCGGTGAGAGGCTACTGGTGGCAGAAGGTGGTCTCGTAGATACCCCGGTCCTAGGCCATGGAGCGCTCTAAAGGTGGTAACCAAAACCTTGAAGCGCACCCGGAAGACCACCGGGAGGCAGTGCAGCTCGCGCAGGAGGGGGGGGTCACATGGGAGCGCCACGTCGCTCCCATAACCACCCGCGCGGCCGCAATCTGGACTAGCTGGAGCCTCCAGGTGCTCCTCAACGGGAGCCCCATGTAGAGAGCGTTGCAGTAGTCCAGGCGGGAAGTGACGAGGACATGAGTGACCGTATTTAACGAGTCACGATCCAGAAAGGGATGCAACTGGCGAATCAGGTGAACCAGATAAAATGCCCTCCCGGCCGCAGCCGTCAAATGCTCTTCTAAAGACAGCTGCGAGTCCAGGAGGACACCCAAGTTGCGAGCCCTCTCCGTGGGGGCCAACGACTCGCCCCCAATGGTCAGCGATGGCACCAACTGACTATATCGGGATGTCGGAAACCACAGCCACTCGGTCTTGGATGGATTGAGCCTGAGTCTGTTTCTCCCCATCTCCTTTTAATGACTCCACAATCCCTTGAGGGGTGGAGTCGTGGGCAACTGAATGGAGCGGAGTGTTTACTGGCCGGATGCCTTTCCTGTCGCCAATGCGGAGTTTTTTTCAGCAGATATATTCTCATGGTGCCCAGAGAGAGAAATATCAGCCTCTATCTAGGATCGAACTCACAGCCTCCTGATGGTGAGGCGAGAGCTCAACCTCTAGGCCACGGCCCCACTCGGTTACTAAATGAATGGCTGCCGTGAAAGCGAATTCGTTGAGCTTGTCCTCTTCTTCGGAACCCAAATTCCAGTTTTCTAATTTTACTTATTATCTCTGTTAAAAAAAAAATATGATCGCGCTCAATTGGCATTTGGATACCAAGCCTTCCCTCTCTTGTGGGGCTTATAAAATTGGCAAATCCATTAACGTGCTTTTCCTTTGTCATTACTTATAAACAGACGCACGCACACGCTACAGTATTAAAAAAAAATTGCCGTATCACCCAGGAAACAGCTTTTCCTTCCATTCAAAACGGCCGTACAGAGAGAATAAATAAAATATAAATCGATAAATAACATTTTTTGCAGAGATTATTGAGAGTTAATTAAAACCCCGGTAGTTGTTTTTTTTTTTTAAAATAGGAAAGCCTGGGGGATCTTCCAAAATGTTCATTTTAACAGTTCAAAGGGAGGACCAAGAATAATTAGAAGGCTGTTAATCTTTGGCCTAAATTAACTGCAGAATTCCTGCTTTGATTGATATCGCCTGTCAGAAGGTGGGAGGGGCGGAGCAGGAAGAGGCATAGGAGAATGGCTAGACAACCTGCTCATCCACCTGTTGGGACTACAAATCCCATCACTCGACAACCGCAGGAAACCACAGGTAGCCCTCGGCTTACAAACCATTCGTTTAGTGACCACTTAAAGTTACAACTAAGGGATGCGGTGGCTCAGTGGCTAAGACACTCAGCTTGTCGATCGAAAAGGTCAGCAGTTCGGTGGTTCGAATCCCTAGTGCCGCGTAACGGGGTGAGCTCCCGTGACTTGTCTCAGCTTCTGCCAACCTAGCAGTTCGAAAGCACGTGAAAAATGCAAGTAGAAAAATAGGGACCCCCTTTGGTGGGAAGGGAACAGCGTTCCGTGCGCCTTTGGTGTTGAGTCATGCCGGCCACATGACCACGGAGACGTCGTCGGACAGCACTGGCTCTTCGGTTTTGAAACAGAGATGAGCACCGCCCCCTAGAGTCGGGAACGACTAGCACATATGTGCGAGGGGAACTTTACCTTTACCTAAAATTACAACGGCACATAAGAAAGTGACTTATGGCCATTTTTTCCACACTTATGACCGTTGCAACATCCCTAGAGTTAGATGAACAAAATTCAGATGCTTGGCAACTGACTCATACTTATGACGGTCGCACCCGGGGTCATGTGATCCCCTTTTGCAGCCTTCCGACGAGAACCATCAATGGGGTAAACCAGATTCATTTAACAGCCGGGGTTACCAACTCATCAGCTGCAGGGATTCACTTAACTGTGAATGAACTGTGGCAAGAACGGTCGTGAGATGGGGGCAAAACTCCCTTAACAACCGTCTCCCTCAACGACATACATTGTGGTCGTAAGTCGAGGACTACCTGCACAGCACCAGTTGTCAAGTGTGAAAAATCACGTCGCTTTTCTTGTTGCCATTGTAACTTCGGTCACTAAACGAAAGGTTGTTAAGTCGAGGACTTGCCTGTGTTAAGGTAGGTGGGAAGAAGCGGAATTGCAGACATATTTATCGGGATCGATTGCAAAAAAAATATATCCCAAAGCACGTTTCAAACGTCGCCCAAGCCAGGTGACGCTTCCAAAAAAACACCTCAAATATTTTTCTAGGCCAGAGGTCTCCAACCTTGGCAACTTTAAGCCCGGTGGACTTCAATTCCCAGAATTCCCCAGCCAGGGAATTCTGGGAGTTGAAGTCCTCCAGGCTTAAAGTTGCCAAGGTTGGAGACCCCTGTTCTAGGCCATACCCCGAAGGGAGGGAAAGGGAGGGGGCTTACCTTTTTGCAGTCTTGGCAAAACACCCCCGTGCTCCCCAAAAACCCCAGGCCTTCCCCGCACAGCAGGCACTGGGACGATCCGTTTCCCAGGACGTTTTTTTGCATGTTCTCCAGCCGCTCCACCAGGCGCCTGCAAGGCAGAGACTCCCGTCAAAACAGGCCCCGAGAACGCGGCCTGCAAATCGAACCAGAAAGGTCCCGAAATTTGTCGGCATTTCCCCGCTGGGATTCTCAAGGAGGCCTTTCATTCGGATCACAGATTAACAAGAGTCGGAAGGGACCTTGTAGGTCATCTAGTCCAACCCACCGCCCCAAGCAAGGTGACCCTACACCATTTCTGACAGGTGGCAAGCCCAGTCTCTTCTCGAAAGCCTCCAGGAATGAAGCTCCCACAACTTCTGAAGGCAACTTCTATTCCATGGGTTGATTGTTTCTCCCTGTGAGAAAATTCCTCCTTTTTTCCAGGTTGAATCTCTCCTTGATCAGTTTCCATCCATTATTCTCCTTATTTGGCCTTTGGGATTGGTAAATTTGTATAGGGCAGTGATGGCTAACCTTTTTGAAATCGCGTGCCAAAAGCGGGGGAGCAGAGGGGGTGTTGCGTGCGTGAGTGCCCACACCCATAATTCAATGCACCCCCACACTCCATCCCCCTGCTTATGCGTGTGACCCACCCCGCGCTCACCCCGCTTTTGGCAAGCGATGGCACGGTGGGCTTGTTTTTCGCCCTCCCCAGGCTCCAGAGGCTTTCTAGGAGCCTTGGGAGGGCAAAAACAGTCTTCCCCACCACCCCGGAGGCCCTCTGGAGGCCGGAAACAAGCCTGTTTCCCGACTTCTGGTAGGCCCGGAAATCAGCTGGAGCTGAACTAGGGCAACACTACTGCAATGCTCTCTACATGGGGCTGCCCCTGAAGACCACTCGGAGGCTTCAGCTGGTGCAGAATGCAGCCGCGCGGGTAGTGATGGGAATGTCCCGACACTCTCATGTTACACCCCTCCTGCGGGATCTGCATTGGCTACCAGTTGCCCTCCGGGTGAGATTCAAAGTGCTGATAATCACCTACAAAGCCCTACATGGCTTAGGCCCAGGGTATTTGGCGGACCATCTGCAGCCAACGACAGCTCCCCATCGCCCGGTGCGTTCCCACAGGGAGAGCCTCCTTGGGGTGCCGTCGGCCAGACAATGTCGGCTGGTGACCCCTAGGGAGCGGGCCTTCTCTGTGGGCGCACCTACCCTGTGGAATCAGCTCCCGCTGGGGCTCCGGGTGGCCCCTGACCTTCGCTCTTTCCGCCGTGGCCTTAAAACATGGCTATTTCGCCTGGCTGGCTTGGACTGAAGGGGTTTTAGAGGGGATTTTAATGGTCTTTATAGTTTTATTGGGTATTTTTTTAAAAAAATTAAACTTTGTGTGTTTTATTGTTGTGAGCCGCCCTGAGTCCTTTCGGAGATAGGGCGGCATATAAGTCCAAATAATAATAATAATAACAACAACAACAACAACAACAACAACAACACTCGTGTGCCCACAGATATGGCTCCATGTGCCATAGGTTCACCATCACGGGTATAGAGTTTCCTGCCTGAGCAGGGAATTGGATTAGAAAGTCCTCCAAGGTACTTTCAACTCTGTTATTCTGTTCTTTTGTTTAATTAAAATGGTATATCCTACATGGTTTTTTGTTCATTCATTCACTTTTTCAGCCCTAGTTCTGTGAAATCTCATTCACAAGTTTCTGGGCTTTTTGTATCCTGCTGAAAAGCAACAACTCTCTGCTGCAATTTGGGAGACTCAAATAGCTATTTCTGCCTTATAAGGCGTCATCAGTGAGCCACACCCTCTTCTCAAGTATCCTCCCTGTAAAGGTACAATGTGTCTTTTTCTTTTTTCGTAGGCTTTTATGTGCATATTCTGTCTAGCCAGGTTCCACCTACGTAAGCTAAGTTGTTCCTCAACTCTAGTTCTGTGAAATCTCATTCACAAGTTTCTGGGCTTTTTTTATCCTGCTGAAAAGCATTCATATATATATATATATGAATCGAGTGGATGTGATTCCACTGAGCTAGGGCTGCAGAAAAACCTTGGTTACGTAGGAAAAACCTGGCTAGAGGAAAAACACACATAAATCCTACGAAGAAGTAAAAAAATAGATATTGTACCTTTACAGGGAAGATACATGTGGGTGTGGCTTACTGATGATGGCTAACGAGCCAGAAATAGATCTATATAAGTCTCTCACCTGGCAGCAAGAACTTGCTGGCTGCCAGAAAGAAAAAAGCCCAGAATCGAGTGGATGTGATTCCACTGAGCTAGGGCTGCAGAAAAACCTTGGTTACCTAGGAAAAACCTGGCTATATATTTAAAAAAAGGAGTCCTTCCTAACGCAGGCAACGTTTAAGGCCGCAGCAGATAAAAACGTCTGTCTTCATTTCCAATTCACACAGACGTAAGGTGCAACCTTACAGCAGCTTTAAGCACAATCGGTGAGACGTGCAAGACTTTACGGCTTACTTCTTCCAGGCCAGAACTCATAATCTCTGCTACTTTCCTCAAATCCCTTCTGCCCGATTTAATGCCACCGACCTTGAAAGTTAAAAGGTTTCCAAATCCTTTAGCAGACAGATAAAAGAGATAAATAGCTTTCATTCAAAGACCCAGACAATGACAAAAGTGACTGGATTTAAAAAAAAAGAAAAAAAATTTAATTTTTTTTTTTAAATCCAGCTAGGAAAACAGTTGTAATGGACTCGGCCCACCACGAAATTCAAAGTGACTTTATCCCTCGCCCAAAATACAATTTTTCAGGGATTTAAGGAGCAGCTACTTGCATCGATGGCTAAAAGGCTTCTCGGCAGCAAATTTTCGGTGTCTTTTAATTTAAGGTTGTAATTCTTTTTGGAAGTGCCATCCCGGCTGCAATCTTTTTTTTGTTTTTTTTTTAAAGCTTCAAAGAATGCAAGAGCATTAACCCCGCTGAACGCTGCGGGGATTATTATCTCAATTATTTCCAGAAGGTGGAAAACCGGCTACAAAAAACAGCTTAGCCATTTATTTTTCAACCAGACAAGCTGATGACCTATTGGTTCATCCATTAAAAGGATGATGTGACTAGAATGAACAATTAAGAGTTCTAACTGGTATACACATACACAGAGAGAGATATATGAATATGAAGAGAGAGAGAGAGAGAGAGAGAGAGAGAGAGAGAGAGAGAGAGAGAGAGCGAGCAGTGGTGAAATCCAATTTTTTTTTACTACTGGTTCTGTGGACGTTGCGTGGTGTGGCTTGGTGGGCGTGGCAAGGAAAGGATACTGCAAAATCCCCATTCCCTCCCCACTCCTGGGGGAAGGATATTGCAAAATCTCCATTCCCACCCCACTCTGGGGCCAGCCAGAGGTGGTATTTTCCGGTTTTCCGAACTGCTCAAAATTTCCGCTACCGGTTTTCCAGAACCTGTCAGAACCTGCTGGATTTCACCGGATAGATAGATATATCTGTTGATACATACCGTATATATAAATATAGATATCTGTTAATATATATTCAGTAGTGGCCAAAACTGTGGAAACCTTTTGGGAAAAGTGTATTTTCTAAAACTAGTTATAACGCCACTTATTTTTGGAGTAGTACCATAAAATTATATCTTTTATGAAGGATTTGCTATTAGAACAGCAGTTACAAGTATAAAGTAGAAAAGTGAAACACGTAGAAAAAAACGAGATATACAAAAATTATCCCCATGTCAGTTAATCCTTAGTTGGGTCACTTTTAGCATGAATTATGGCCTTACAACGTCTTCCCATGGAGTGAACCAAGTCTTTTAGTTCTGCAGCTGTTCTAATCTGAAACCAAGATCGAATGATGGCTTCTATTAACTGGGTTTTATTGCTGGGTCGCTTCTGACTAACCAGTTTCTTTAGTCGGCTCCCTAGATTTTCAATTGGGTTAAGTAAGGTCTGGGCTATTCTCAGGCCATTCCAGCAGTGGAATAGGATTATCTTGAAACTCCCCCCCCCCCCAAAAAAAGTGGTGTTATTAGAGCCATCAAACCTCAAAAATACATTTTTCCCAAAAGGTTTCCACAATTTAAACACCATATACATAGTGTGTTGTGTGTGTAGAGAGAGGCAGAGAGAGGGAGAGAGGGAGGGAAATAGAGAGCTAGAAAGATATAGATGATAGATATAGATGATGGAGGGATGGAGGGATAAATAGGCACAGATAGAGGGAGAGGAAGAGACAGACAGACACAGAGAGAGAGGGAGAGGGACAGATAGAAAGATATAGAGGATGGATGGATGGATGGATGGATGGATGGATAAATAGGCAGAGATAGAGGGAGAGGAAGAGACAGACAGATAGACACAGAGAGAGAGAGAGGGAGAGGGAAAGAGAGAGATAGAAAGATATAGGGGATGGATGGATGGATGGATGGATGGATGAATAGGCAGAGATAGAGGGAGAGGAAGAGACAGACACACAGAGAGAGAGAGGGGAGAGGGAGAGGGAGAGAGAGAGAGAGAGAGAAAGAGATAAATGATGGATGGATGGATGGATGGATAAATAGGCAGAGATAGAGGGAGAGGAAGGGACAGACAGACAGACAGACACACAGAGAGAAAGAGAGGGAGAGGGAGAGGGAGAGAGAGAGGAGAGAGAAAATATAGGTGATGGATGGATGGATGGATGGATGGATGGATGGATGGATAAATAGGCAGAGATAGAGGGAGAGGGAGAGACAGACAGACAGTCACAGAGAGAGAGGGAGAGGGAGAGAGAGATATATAGAAAGATATAGGTGATGGATGAATGGATGGATGGATGGATGGATGGATGAATAGGCAGAGATAGAGGGAGAGGAAGGGACAGACAGACAGACAGAGAGGGAGGGAGGGAGGGAGGGAGAGGGAGAGAGAGAAAGATATAGGGGATGGATGGGATGGATAAGCAGGCAGAGAAAGAGAGGGAGAGGAAGAGGGAGAGGGAGAGAGAGAGAGAGAGAGAGAGAAAAGATATAGGTGATGGATGGATGGATGGATGGATAAATAGGCAGAGATAGAGGGAGAGGAAGAGACAGACAGACAGACACAGACACACACACAGAGAAAGAGAAAGAGAGAGAGGGAGAGAGAGAGACAGACAGACAAGCAGACAAATACCCAATTCTCTTCTGCTCGATTATGTCCAGCTTCTCAGCTCTTCGGATGACCGCCAGAATGACCTCCATTTCTTTCGAATCCAGAGCTTGCATCTTCCTCTGGCGGTCCGTTTGGAAAGTGTGCACTGACCAACCGGTCTGAAGCCTGCAAAGGAAACAAACCAGTTTTGAATTTTTTTTTTCCCCAGCCAATCGAGGTTTCTGTTTCTTTAAATGCAGCATTTGCGTTATCTCAATACGGCTTGCCTCAAATTTCATTTTTGCCACCATTTTTAGGGCTTTTAAGAAGAGTTTGGACAACCATTTGTCTAGAATGGCGTAGGGTCTCCTGTTTGAGCAGGGGTTGGACTAGAAGACCTCTAAGGTCCCTTCTAACTCTGTAATTCTATTAAAAAAAACCACTGCAGCATTCCCAATTATGGTCACATGATCAGAATTAGGCCGCTGAGCAACTGGCATGTACTTATGACGGTTGCAATGTCCCAGGTTCACTTGATACCATTTTGCGACCTTCTGACAAGCCAGATTCACTTAACGACTATGGCAAGAAAGGCCGTAAAATGGGGCAAAACTCACTTAACAAACCCGCTTAGCAGGGGATATTTTGGCCTCAATTGTTGTCATAACTCGAGGACTACCTGCAGATCGACCCCAAGGCCCCATCGTCACATCTTATTTAAATTTAAGTTCTAAAAGCAAGACCGAGCAGGTTTCCCTAAAGGAATGAGGAAAATTTCCAATTATGATCATGATTGATGAAAGGATGGGAAAAATTACGGATCCACCACCTACTTGGCGCGGAGAGCCAGATGTCGGTCATTGGGGCATACCCACTGGTCATTCCCATTGCCAAAAATGGTTTCCGCCATGGATCGTTCAGCCGTGGGCTCTGCAGAAAGCGGAGTCAAACCTGCAGAGAGAGAGAGAGAGAGAGAGAAGTTATTTTGGAGAAAAAGTGATGAATAGAATAGAATAGAATAGAATAGAATGGAATGGAATGGAATGGAATAGGAAAATATGGAATGGAATGGAATGGAATGGAATGGAATGGAATAGAATAGAATAGAATAGAATAGAATAGAATAGAATAGAATAGAATAGGAAAATATGGAATGGAATGAAATGGAATAGAATAGGAAAAATATGGAATAGAATAGAATAGAATAGAATAGAATAGAATAGAATAGAATAGAATAGAATAGAATAGAATAGAATATTGGAATGAGGAATGGAATGGAATGGAATAAAGAATAGGATGGGATGGGATGAGATGGGATGGGATGGGATGGGATGGGATGGGATGGAATAGAATAGAATAGAATAGAATAGAATAGAATAGAATAGAATAGATGGAATGGAATGGAATGGAATGGAATGGAATGGAATGGAATAGAATAGAATAGGAAAATATGGAATGGAATGGAATGGAATGGAATAGAATAGAATAGAATAGAATAGAATAGAATAGAATAGAATAGAATAGAATAGAATAGAATAGAATAGAATAGAATAGAATAGAATAGAATAGAATAGAATATTGGAATGAAGAATGGAATGGAATGGAATAAAGAATAGGATGGGATGGGATGGGATGGGATGGAATAGAATAGAATAGAATAGAATAGAATAGAATAGAATAGAATAGAATGGAATGGAATGGAATGGAATGGAATGGAATGGAATGGAATGGAATGGAATAGAATAGGAAAATATGGAATGGAATGGAATGGAATAGGAAAATATGGAATGGAATGGAATGGAATGGAATAGAATAGAATAGAATAGAATAGAATAGAATAGAATAGAATAGAATAGAATAGAATAGAATAGAATAGAATAGAATAGAATAGAAATAGAATAGAATAGAATAGAATAGAATAGAATAGAATAGAATAGAACAGAACAGAACAGAACAGAATAGGAAAATATGGAATGGAATGGAATAGAATAGAATAAGCTGGAAGGGACCTTGGAGGTCTTCTAGTCCAGCCCCCTGCTCAAGCAGAAGAACCTATATCCGTGATGGCAAACCTCTGGCATGTGTGCCAGAGGTGGCATGCAGAACCCTCTCTGTGGGCACATGCACGGTCGCCAGTGGCTCTTCTGGTTTCCGGTGCGCCAGCCAGCTGGTCTTTGCGAGCGCCGGAGTGCCTGAAAGCACCTGAAAACAGCCAAAAACCAGGCCATTTTTCAGGCTGTTTCCAGATCTTTTTCGGGCAGTTTTCTGGGCCGTTTTCAGGCCATTTTAGGCCCTTTTCCAGCTGTTTTTCAGGCCGTTTCCAGGCCATTTTTAAGCCTTTTTCTGGATGTTTTTCCAGCTGCTTTCAGGTCGTTTTCCAGACCTTTTCTGGGGCGTTTTCAGGCCCTTTTCCGGCTGTTTTTCGGGCCATTTTCAGGTCGTTTTTAGGCTTTTTTCGGGCTGTTTTTCGGGCTGTTTTCAGGTCATTTTCCGGACCTTTTCTGGGCTGTTTTCAGGCCGTTTACCGGCTGTTTTCCAGCCCGTTCCCAGGCCATTTTTAGGCCTTTTCCCAGTTGTTTTTCAGGATGTTTTCTGGATGTTTTCTGGACCTTTTGGGGGCCTTTTTCAGGCCGTTTTCCAGGCCGTTTCCAAGCCATTTTTAAGCCTTTTTACAGCTGTTTTTCGGGCTGTTTTCAGGCCATTTTCTGGACCTTTTCTGGGCCGTTTTCAGGCCATTTTCTGGGGTGTTTTCAAGCCCAAAAACAGCCTGGAAAACGGCCCAGAAAATTGTCAAAAATGGCCAAAAAACAGGCATGTGTGCACCGGCCAGCTGGTCTTCGGGCTTCCGGTGCTCTGGTCCACGCAGATGCACACATGTTCCTTTTTGGGTACTCGGTCCTGAAAAGGTTCGCCATCAGTGACATCTATACCATTTCAGATAAGTGACTATCTAAAGTAGCCTCTTCTTAAAAAACATCCAATGATAAGTCTACACAATCACTTTTTTTAACATTTTACAAACCAACTTTTACCCACAGGTACAGGCAGTTCTCGACTTGTGACCAAAATGGAGCCCAAGCAAGACAGCTGTTAAGTGAGTTTTGACCGATTTTTCGACCTTTTCTTGCTACAGTTGCTAAGTGAATGCAGTTGTTCAGTTGGTAACATGGTTGTTAAGTGAATCTGGCTTCCCCCTGGACTTTGCTTGTCAAGAAGGTTGCAAAAGGGGATCATGTGACCCTCCCAGGACACTGCAACCGTCATAAATATGAATCAGTGGCCAAGGATCTAGATTTTAATCAAGTGAGCATGGGAATGCTGCAAGGGTCGTAAATGTGAAAAATTGTCATAAGTCACTTTTTTTTTTAGTGCAGGGGGGTTAACTTTGAACGGTCACTAAACGTTGTAAGTTGAGGAGAGCTGTAGAACAAAACAGGTTGCAGAAATAAGCACAGAATAAATAAAAGGGGATGATTTTACACTGTTAGATTCAGGTACAGTTAGTCCTCAACTTATGACCACAATTGACCCCCAACTTTTCTGTTGCCAAGTGAGACAGTTAAAGGGTTTTACAACCCGTCTTGCCACAGCTGTTAAGTGAATCACTGCGGTTGTTAAGTTAGCAACACGGATGTTAAGTGAATCCGCTTCCCCATCGATTTTGCTTGTCAGAAGGTCGCAAAACGTGACACTGCAACCGTCGTAAATGTGAATCAGTTGCCAAGCGTCTGCATTTTGATCACGCAACCACAGGGATGCTACGAGAGTTGCAAGTGGGAAAAAAATGGCCATAAGTCACTTTTTTCAGTGCCATTGTAACTTCGAACTGTCAGTAAGCGAATGTTTTGCAAGTTGAGCGCTTCCTCAAATCCAACATGGATGTATCCCGCGAAAGATTCATTGTTTTTGTTCGTTCGGTGTCTGATTTTTTGGCTGTGGAAAAATATATTCTCACACGTTCTTTCTTTTTTGATAAAGGGAAAAGGCAAACATGCTTCAAATGCCAGTTTTCCTGCCTCTTTCCAATGGTCAAGGCCAGTTTTCTGCCCAACTGCCTCACCCGAGCACTATCGAAAATGCAAATAGCTTGTTTTGTCCTTGGCCTCTTTTGCAGGCAGGAAATAGCATAATTTTCCAGTCTATTCTGTTCCCAGGCCAAAAAGACTCCATTTTGGCAGTTGAAAAGGGGGGGATCTCAAACACTGATTCCCAGCACCAAATGGTGCCCTTCCAACACACAAGATGAAAAAAGGGCGGACTGTCCTACTTGCAACATTTAGAATTTAAAACAAGGTTTCTCAAATTTGGCAACTTTAAGATGGGTGGACTTCTATTACCAGAATTCCCCCAGTCAGACTGGTTTAAGAGGGGTGGACTTCCACTCCCAGAATTCCCCACCAGCATGCTTTAAGATGGGTGGACTTCCACTCCCAGAATTCCCCAGCCAGCCGTGCTTTAAGATGGATGGACTTCCACTCCCAGAATTCCCCAGCCAGCCTTGCTTTAAGATGGTGGACTTCCACTCCCAGAATTCCCCAGCCAGCATGCTTGAATATGGGTGGACTTGCACTCCCAGAATTCCCCACCAGCATGCTTAAGAGGGTGGACTTCCACTCCCAGAATTCCCCAGCCAGCAAGCTTTAAGAGGGGTGGACTTCCACTCCCAGAATTCCCCAGCCAGCCTTGCTTTAAGATGGATGGACTTCCACTCCCAGAATTCCCCAGCCAGCCTTGCTTTAAGATGGGTGGACTTCCACCCCAGAATTCCCCAGCCAGCCTTGCTTTAAATGGGTGGACTTCCACTCCCAGAATTCCCCAGCCAGCATGCTTGAAGATGGGTGGACTTCATCTCCCAGAATTTCCCCAGCCAGCATGCTTGAATATGGGTGGATTTCCCACTCCCAGAATTCCCCAGCCAGCATGCTTTAAGATGGGTGGACTTCCACTCCCAGAATTCCCCACCAGCATGCTTTAAGAGGGGTGGACTTCCACTCCCAGAATTCCCCAGGCAGCATGCTTTAAGAGGGGTGGACTTCCACTCCCAGAATTCCCCAGGCAGCATGCTTTAAGAGGGGTGGACTTCCACTCCCAGAATTCCCCAGCCAGCATGCTTTAAGAGAGGTGGACTTCATCTCCCAGAATTCCCCAGCCAGCATGCTTGAATATGGGTGGACTTCCACACCCAGAATTCCCCAGCCAGCATGCTTTTAAGATGGATGGACTTCAACTCCCAGAATTCCCCAGCCACCATGCTTTAAGAGGGGTGGACTCAACTCCCAGAATTCCCCAGCCAGCATGCTTTAAGATGGATGGACTTCCACTCTCAGAATTCCCCAGCCAGCATGCTTTAAGATGGATGGACTTCAACTCCCAGAATTCCCCAGCCACCATGCTTTAAGAGAGGTGGACTTCATCTCCCAGAATTCCCCAGCCAGCATGCTTGAATATGGGTGGACTTCCACTCCCAGAATTCCCCAGCCAGCATGCTTTAAGATGGATGGACTTCAACTCCCAGAATTCCCCAGCCACCATGCTTGAAGATGGATGGACTTCACTCCCAGAATCCCCAGCCACCATGCTTTAAGAGGGGAGGACATCCACTCCCAGAAATTCCCCAGCCAGCATGCTTGAATATGGGTGGACTTCAACTCCCAGAATTCCCCAGCCAGCATGCTTTAAGATGGATGGACTTCCACTCCCAGAATTCCCCAGCCAGCATGCTTTAAGATGGATGGACTTCAACTCCCAGAATTCCCCAGCCACCATGCTTTAAGAGGGAGGAGTTCCACTCCCAGAATTCTCCAGCCAGCGTGTGGATTTTGACTCCCAGAATTCCCTAGGCAGCATAGTTACGAAACACTGGTCAAAACCTGCAAGAGAAGGACAGACTAACTTCCCAACCCATTTTAGCTGTCCTAACAAGGGACAATGGACGGGAAGCGTTCCATTTCGAACTGGGTGCCCGGTTTATTTCCTTAAAAAGCCCTCTGCCCATGGAAAATAAAACTGCACAAGGCTGTAGTCCTCATGAGAGTGCAGTGCAGGCTTTAGAGGGCGCAGGCCTTAGATGGTTTCATCTTGAGGGAGAAACTGGCAGAATTCTCCTCAGCTTCTTATTCCTTTTGTATTTTACCACCAATTTTAACACTGTAATATGTCCAGTGTCAACCTTGTGGTTGAGATGGGTAGCATATAAATTTAAGAAATAAATAAATGTTGCGACCTGCTTCGTCCCATGGAGCCCCCCTTTCTCAACAAATATCCCTCCTCCTAAACGGGACCACTCTTCAAAATGGCCTCTTTTGGGTGCCTTTTGCAGCTTCCTCGCCCTGCCATTATTTATTTTTAGGGGGCAGACAGAAGGGAGTTGCCCTTTTATTCCCAAAGGATGCCTACGAGGCATTCTTGGAAATAAACAGGATGCCGAAGGATGGAATTTAGCAAGCCAGCTTCCTTTGGCTTTTCAACTCAAAGGGAAGTTAGTAGAAAGTGAGGTCAGAATAAAGCTCAGAATATTTTTGGAATAAAAGCAAAGAGGGCTTGCAAAGGAGACACACTAGCCAGAAAATCAAGAAGCTTTAGTTGTGCAGTGGAGAAAGGGCACCATCAGATTAATTTGGCATGGTTCGTTTCTATCCCGCATGGGTGTAGAATGTATTAAGTTTTGTGATATTAGACATCCCATCTTTGACTGGGGAGACCTTATAATTCTCATTATTGGAATATCTTTTGCTTTTTGCAGGAGGTGACAAAAGGGAGGGGAGGGAGGGAAAAGGAAAAGAGAGGAAGAAAGGAAGGAAAGGTAGAAATATAAAAAAGAAAGAAAAGAAAGAAAAGAAGGAAGGAAAGAAGGAAAGGAAAGGAAAGGAAAGGAAAGGGGAAAGAAAAGGGGAAAGAAAAAGGAAAGGAAAGGAAAGGTGGAAAGGAGGAAAGAAAGAAGAATGGTAGGATGGAAGAAACAAAGAAAGAAGGAAAAGAAGGAAGGAAGGAAGGAAGGAAGGAAGGAAGGAAGGAAGGAAGGAAGGAAAGGAAGGAAGGAAGGAAGGAAGGAAGGAAGGAAGGAAGGAAGGAAAGAAAGAAAGAAAGAAGGAGGAAAGAAAGAAAAGAGGAAAGGAAAGGAATGAGGAAAGGAAAGGAGAAAGAAAAAGAAAAGGAAAGGTGGAAAGGAGGAAAGGAAGGATGGGAGGATGGAAGAAACAAAGAAAGAAGGAAAAGAAGGAAGGAAGGAAGGAAAGAAGGAAGGAAAGAAAGAAGGAAAGAAGAAAAAGGAAAAGGAAGGAAGAGGAGGAAAGGAAAAACAAGAATGTAAGGAAGAAAAGAAACAAAAATAGAAAGAAGGAATGGTAAGGGAGGGAGGGAGGAGGAAAGAAGGAAAAGAAGAGAGGGAGGTCAGAAAGAAGGAAGAGTAAATATGGAGAAAGGAGGGAGGGAGGCAAGGACAGGAAGACAGGTAAGGTAATACCAAATGGAAAACTTAAATCCATCCAGAGCAAAGTCCGGGCCTGGTTTTGCACCTACCCCCCCCCTCAGCTTCCTTGCCAATACCTGGGTAACTATGATTATGCCAGGAAGCAACCATGGCAACCTGGACAAACAAGCCCTGGTTGCTAGGAAGAGGCCACAGCAACAAGCAGCCAGGAGATTAGGGTGAAGGACCAGACATTTCTTCCATCCACCCACCCGCCCACATAAAATGGCACCTCCAGGTGTTTGGACTGCGATTCCCAGAATTCCCATGGGATGGAAAGCTAGGGATTCTGGGAGTTGCAGTCCCAAAGGATGGGAAGAAAACATGGCCACTGGGACAAGACCCGGCACCGCCATTTTTATTCCGTCTCTCCATTGGCTTTCCATGACAACAACCTCGCCCCCCCCCACACAACGTGAACGCATTTGATTTTATAATTTATTTAGCTACAGGTGGTCCTCGCCTTACAAACCATTCATTTAGTGACCGAAGTTTACAACGGCACTGACTTAGCATGTGGCCACATAACCAAAATTTAGAGGCTTGGCACCTGGCATGTACTTATGACGGTTGCAGTGTTCTGGCAAGCAAAGTCAATGGGGAAGCCCGCTTCGCTTAATAACCGTGCGACTAACTTAACATCAGCGGTGATTCGCTTTTGCGGCCAGAAAAGTCGCAAAATGGGGCACAACTCACTTAGCAACTATGATTGGCTTAACAACTGTGAATTGCCACTGTGACAAGAAAGGTCGTAAAATGGGGCACAACGACTCACTTAGCGTCTTCCTTAGCAAAGTCCATGGGGTTGGGGAAGCCCGATTCGCTTAACAACTATAGGACTAACTTAATGACCACTGAGATTAACAACCGTGGCAAGAAAAATCGACAAATGGAACAAAATTCAGCACCCCGTCGTCGTCACGTGATCAAAATTCGGACACAACTGACCTGTATTTATGACCATTGCAATGTCCGCGGGGGTTGGGCGATCCCATTTTTGTGACCTTCCAACAAGCCAAGACCATGGGGGAAGCCCGATTCACTTAACAATCTCACGACTAATTACAGTGATTCACTTAACAACCTTGTGACTAATTGCAGTGATTCGCTTAACAACCTCGCGACTAATTGCAGTGATTCGCTTAACAACCTCGCGACTAATTGCAGTGATTCGCTTAACAACCTCGTGACTAATTGCAGTGATTCGCTTAACCTCGCGACTAATTGCAGTGATTCACTTAACCTCGCGACTAATTGCAGTGATTCGCTTAACAACCTCGTGACTAATTGCAGTGATTCGCTTAACCTCGTGACTAATTGCAGTGATTCACTTAACAACCTCGCGACTAATTGCAGTGATTCGTTTAACAACCTCGCGACTAATTGCAGTGATTCACTTAACAACCTCGTGACTAATTGCAATGAGTCACTTAACAATCTCGTGACTAATTGCAGTGATTCACTTAACAACCTCGCGACTAATTGCAGTGATTCACTTAACAACCTCGCGACTAATTGCAGTGATTCACTTAACCTCGCGACTAATTGCAGTGATTCGCTTAACAACCTCGCGACTAACTGCAGTGATTCACTTAACAACCGTGACAGGAAATGCCATCAAAGGGGGCAAAGCTCGCTTCTACAAACGCCTCGCTTAGCAACGGATACCTTGGGACTCCCTCCTGGTCGCAAATCGAGGACTCCCGTCCCCATCAGCTGCTGTAATCTTTTTGCAAGATTTGAAGTTGGATCGGCTCTTGTAAGCTCCCAGCCGGGCCGCCTCGTCGCTGTTTTCGGCTCTGCCAAGCGGTAGCAACAGGTTTGCAAAAGCTTCGCTTCCCAACAAGGAAATTTGACTTTGGGAAAAACAAAACCGAGCAAATAAAAACCCGAGTTTTATTCCGGCCTTTATTAAGAGGGAGTGTCCCGAAAGGAAGCAAAGCTTTTTTTTTTTACTTTCTCTTGCTTTTTAAAATAAAGTTTTATTTTTTTGTTTTTTTTTAAATATAGCGAGAAAAAAGCAAGAGGCGGGAAGAGGATTTTGGGGCTTTGCAAAGGGTGCAAACAAAAAAAAAAAAAACCCACAAAAAAACCCAGGGATTTAGAGGAAGGGGCGTCCTCTATTCTTTGGGGGTGGGGGGGAAAGAAAAGTGCCTTTTGCAAAAAAAGGACAGGGAGGGAAAAAGTCGGAATTTTGCACGCATTGCACACTCACCTGAAGGCTGGAGAGAAAAGGGGTGCTTTGCAAAGGGTGCAGCACCCCTCCCCGGGCATTTAGAGGAGGGGGCGACCCACCCGCCACGTGGCAAAGGCCTTTTGCAAAAAAAAAAAAAAGACAAGAGAGGAAAAGTCCCCAATTTTGCAGGGCCCTTGACACACTCAACGCATTGCACACTCACCTGAAGGCTGGAGAGAAGTGAGGGGGTGGCTGGGGGGGTTGTCCAGGAGCGCCAGGCGCGTGCAAGACCCCCCGAAGAACTGCAAAGCTTTGGAGAGGGGAAAAAAATAAGAATAACCAAGGCTGCTAATCAACCATTAAATAAATACAGGGGCCAACCGTCCAAAGGCGGACAGTGGTTGGGCGGGAGGCAAACTCCGGCCTGGATTCCCGGAACGGATTGCAGCTGTCAGGAAAGGCCAGGTGAGATAGGTCGACTTTCCCAGCCGTCGCCCCAGTTGTGTTGTTGCGAGGGTGTGACAGCTGTGCAAAGGGGCCAAAGGAAGAGGCCAGAATCCGGCTGGGCGGAAAGAAGGAAATGTGACTCAAAAGGGTGGATTCCTATTTTCTTTTTTCCCCCTGTTGTAAATAAGTTTATGGAGGTGCTAAAATCCTTCCCTTGCAAGGGAAGGAAATAAATATCATATTTCACAGGGAGTCCTCGATTTACGACCACAATGTAGCCTTTTCTCTTAACAATTGTTCAGTGAGTTTTTAAACCCACTTTATAACCTTTTTTCTTGCCTCTGTTCTTAAGCGAATCACTGCAGTTGATCAGGGAGTCACATGGTTGTTAAGTGAATCTGGCTTCCCCATTGACTTTGATTGTCAGAAGGTTGCAAATGGGGATCATGTGACCCCAGCCAGGAGGCTACAACTGTCGTAAAGACGAGCCAGTTGGCAAGCGTCTGAATTTGGATCACACGACCGTGAGGAATGCTGCGACGGTCGTAACTTTGAAAAAAAAACGGTCCCAAGTCACATTTTTCGGTGCCATCGTAATTTTGGAGCAGTCACTAAACAAACTGCAGTAAATTGGGGACTACCTCCTGTATATCAAAGTTTAATAAAAGTTTCTGGGCACGTGGCTGTCTTGCGATGCATTTTAACCAGTGATGGGATTCAGCCAGTTTGCACCACTTCGGGAGAGTTAACTTTCTGAGCAGTTTGGCAAACTGGTTGTTGGAAGAAATCATTAGGGCAGAGAACCGGTTGTTAAATTACTTGAATCCCACCACTGATTTTAACCCACACTCATGATAGAATCAAGATCACGTGAAGTGTTGATACCGCTTTATAAGGCCTTGGTAAGGCCACACTTGGAATATTGCATTCAGTTTTGGTCGCCACGATGTAAAAAAAGATGTGGAGACTCTAGAAAGAGTGCGGAGAAGAGCAATGAAGATGATTAGGGGACTTGAGGATAAAGCATATGGAGAACGGTTGCAGGAACTGGGTAGGTCTAGTTTAATGAAAAGAAGGACTAGGGGAGACATGATAGCAGTGTTCTGATATCTCAGGGGCTGCCCCAAAGAAGAGGGAGTCAAGCTATTCTCCAAAGCACCTGAAGGCAGGAGAAGAAGCAATGGATGGAAACTCATCAAGGAGAGAAGCAACTTACAATTAAGGAGAAATTTCCTGACAGTGAGAACAATTAATCAGTGGAACAACTTGCCTCCAGAAGTTGTGGATGATCCAACACTGGAAGTTTTTAAGAAGATGTTGGCTAACCATTTGTCTGAAGTGATGTAGGATTTCCTGCCTGGGCAGGGGGTTGGACTAGAAGACCTCCAAGGTCCCTTCCCGCTCTGTTATTCTATTCGTGTTGGGGCAGCAACACAAAAGCCAGATTGGGTTCATTTTTGTCCACATTGTGAGTCTTGTGGAGACAGCTGCCCTATACAGCAAATGTCAGCATTGTGTGGTTGCAAAGAGCCTGTAGTACAGTGGACTAAAGCACTGTTATTAACATCTGCTGCTTGCAATTACTGCAAGTTCAAATCTCACCAGGCTCAAGATTGACTCAGCCTTCCATCCCTTTCAAAGGTAGGTGAAATGAGGACCCAGATTGTGGGGGTAATAAGCTGACTTTGTATAAATATACAAAAGTATGAAGGCTATTGCTTAACGCATTGTAAGCCGCCCTGAGTCTCCGGAGAAGGGCGGCATATAAATTAAAGCAAAAAATAAATAAATAAAAATATTCGCTTTCTGAATCCCAATGTTCCTGACAGCCAGACGTTTTACAAATGTCTCCCAAATGCCTGTTCCAATTGCAAAAGGACCTCTGGGGAAAATTCAAAATGCAAGGACTTGCACTCCACGGAGCTCCAAGGGAAAAGCATCTGTTATCAAGTTTTAAAAGATTTGACTTGTTAATTGGGCTATAGATCCACATAGCTCAAAATCCAGTTAATTAAACACATGGCACTTTCCCTGAGCATCAATGAATCAATCAGAATAGACCTGGAAGGGACCTTTGGAGGTCTTCTAGTCCAGCCCCCTGCTCAAGCTGGAGATCCTATATACCATTTCAGACAAGTGACTGTCCAGTGTCTTCGTTAAAAACCTCCAGTGATAAAGGACCCACAACTTCTGGTGGCAGGCTGTTCCACTGGTGAATTGTCCTCACTATTAGGAAGTTTCTCCTTAATTCCAGGTTGCTTCTCTCCTTGATTAGTTTCCACCCATTGCTTCTTGTCCTGCCTTCATCTGTTCTGGAGAATAGCTTGACTCCCTCTTCTTTGGGGCAGCCCCTCAAATACTGGAATACTGCTATCATGTCCGTCCGTCTCCAGTCCTTCTTTTCTCTAGACTAGCCATATCCAAATCCTGCAACCGTTCTTCGCTTGTTTTTTTTTTCTCCAGGCCTTTGATCATCTCAGTTGCTCTTACCTGATTTTTTTTCCAAAGTCTGAACATCTTTTTTTGTAATGTGGTGACCAAAACTGCCTGCAGTACTCCAGGTGTGGCTACAGGTGTGGCTACTCCAGGTGTGGCTATGAAGTACTACGGCTTCATAAAGTGGTACTAATACTTCACATGTTTTTGATTCTATGCCTCTGTTTATACAACCAAGGATAGTATTAGCTTTTTTGGCTGCTGGCACACACGCTTGCTCCTGTTTAAAGGATTGTCCACTAGGAGTCAGTAGTGGGTTTCAAAAAAATTTACCACGGTTCTGTGGGTGTGGCTTGGTGGGCGTGGCGTGGCGTGGCTTGGTAGGCGTGGCAGGAGAAGGATACTGTAAAATCTCCATTCCCTCCCCAATCCAGGGGAAGGATACTGTAAAATCTCCATTCCCTCCCCAATCCAGGGGAAGGATACTGTAAAATCTCCATTCCCTCCCCACTCCAGGAAATGGATACTGTAAAATCTCCATTCCCTTCCCACTCCAGGGAATGGATACTGTAAAATCTCCATTCCCTCCCCAATCCAGGGGAAGGATACTGTAAAATCTCCATTCCTTCCCCACTCCAGGAAATGAATACTGTAAAATCTCCATTCCCTTCCCACTCCAGGGAATGGATACTGTAAAATCTCCATTCCCTCCCCAATCCAGGAGAAGGATACTGTAAAATCTCCACTCCTTCCCCACTCCAGGAGATGGATACTGTAAAATCTCCATTCCCTCCCCACTCCAGGAGATGGATACTGTAAAATCTCCATTCCCTCCCCACTCCAGGAAATGAATACTGTAAAATCTCCATTCCCTCCCCACTCCAGGGAATGGATACTGTAAAATCTCCATTCCCTCCCCACTCAGGGAATGGATACTGTAAAATCTCCATTCCCTCCCCAATCCAGGGGAAGGATACTGCAAAATCCCCGTTTCCTCACGATCAGCTGGGACTCGGGAGGCAGAGAATAGATGGGGGCGGGGCCAGTCAGAATTTTTACTACCGGTTCTCCGAACGACTCAAAATTTCCGCTACCGGTTCTCCAGAACTGGTCAGAACCTGCTGAAACCCCCCCCCCCACTCTGACTAGGAGTGATTGTGTACCGATGTGCACACAGAGATTATGTCTCATCAGAGACCGTTCTCCGAACTGTGTGGTTAGATTGGGAAAATACATCCTTGGAAAAATAGTCCTTGACTTATGACCAGTGATGGTATTCAGCTGATTCGGGTGAATCGGTAGTGGTGACCTGCAGATGGGCCTGCCTCACATAAAATTATGTGAAACCCATCTCTGCTTACCTATGACGGGTCGCTTAACGACAAACAAGTTACAACGTGTCCCAAAAAAGCTACTTATACAGGTAGTCCTCGGCTTACAACCGCAACGGAGCCCAATGTTTCTGTTGCTAAGGGAAACACTTGTTAAGTGGGTTTGGCCTCACTTTATGACTTTCTTTCCATTGTTGTTAAGTGAGTTACTGCAGCTGTTAAGTTAGTAACACGCTGTTAAATGGATCTGGTTTCCCATTTATTTGGCCTGTCGGACGGTCGTTAAAAGGGGATCACGTGATTCCCTGGACACTGCAATGGTCATAAATGTGAGTCACTGCCCAAGCATCCGAATGTAAATCCCGTGACCATGGGGATGCTGCAACGTTCATAAGTGTGAAAAATGGTCATAAAGTCACGTCTTTCAGTGATGTTGTAACTTTGAACGGTCACTAAGCGAACTGTCATAAATCGAGGACTACCTGTACCTTTAATTGCTGCATTCCGTTGTTCGGTTTCACACTGGATGTTTTCTTACTGAATGCTGAACCTAAGGGCTTTTCCTGAACATTGTTGGCACTCTCCTTTTTGAATGCGGCTAGTCCTCGACTTACAACCGTAACGGCACCTGTGCATCGCAATTGTAAACAGTGCTATCTTTTGCGACCTTCTTTTAGAAAATTCAATGGGGAAGCCAGATGGACTTAACCAACTGCGTCACTAACTTAACAACTGCGGGGATTAGTTAACAACTGTGGCAAGAAAGGTCCTAAA